AGACCCCACCTCTGTCTTTGCAGCACTCCGTAGAGAATTCAACTGGAGAGAAGCAGGATGGTACCTTTGGGAAATTAAAACAGGGTTTTCAAAGTTTTTCAGGCCATGAAACCGTTAAAAAAAAAAACCCGGAACCTCTTCTTAAGAAGCAAAGCTCTACCGGCCAAAGTCAGTTGTGTTGGAATTAACTTTTCCCACATTCCCAGTTTCTAATGGAACTTTTTGAACATCTCACAGAAACCTAGCATTTGGCAGAACACAAGTTTGAACCCCAATTTAACACGTTGATTACAGCATCAGAGTCTATAGAGAAGAATCATATGGGTCAAAGAGACATAGAAAGAGAAGGAATCCCTCCTCAAAGCCCAGATAGCTTCACCTTTGTGGTCAACTAGGTTATGTTTTGAGAGATGGCTCTTTCATCAGGTCTAGAGGCACTAGAGGCTCTGTGATCCTGGGATTCATTCCTTAGTTCCTGGAGTTTCCTTCCTCAATACTGTAATATAACCTTTTTTTGTAGCTCTTGTCATTTATTACTGTTTCCTATTTATGCGGTGGTATTTCCCATCCTGGACAACTTTAAGATGAGTGGACTTTAATTGTCGGAATTCCCTGCCCAGCACGTATAATGAGTGAGGAATTCTGGGAGTTGAAGTCCATCTTAAAGTTGACTAAGTTGGGAAATACAATATTTATGTTTTTTATATCTTGCACAACACCTACAGTTGCTTGGGCAATTGAGGTTGCTTAAACATTGAACAAAGAAACAAGACTATTATTTATTTGCTTGGCAATTAATTTCTCCGGCCTGCTGCAGTTATGCTCTCATTGCATCCAGGAAAACAAAAGCTAGGCTGCTGAAATTTTTACCTCTCTTTAGAATATAGAATAATACAGATTAACAGAATTGGAAGGGACCTTGGAGGTCTTCTACTCCAACCCTCTACCTGCTCAGACAAGAAACCGTACACCACTTCAGACAAATGGGTGTCCAACATCTTCTTAAAAACTTTCAGTGTTGGAGCATTTACAACTTCTGGAGACAAATTGTTCCAATGATTAATTGTTCTGTCAAGAAAGTTATCCTTAATTCTAAGTTGCTTCTCTCCTTGATTAGTTTCCATCCATTGCTTCTTGTCCTGCCTTCAGGTACTTTGGAGAATAGCTTGATTCCCTCTTACCAAATCGTTATAAAGCAGTATTCACATGATTTTTTGATTCTATCCCTCTGTTAATGCAGCCTAGGATTGCATTTTGAACTGAAAGGGGATCCCCAGCTTTCTGCAGGCAGGCACGACTCCATTATCACAGTAATAGACTATCATGTTTACCGATCAGATCGTGAAATCCATAGAGGAGGTGGTGTTGCTATCTTCTATAAAAAGTCCTTACATCTAAAAAACATCTAAGTTACCCAGGAGCTTGCTATTCCTGAGACCATCGCCTGTGAACATTTCGGTAATATCACATTTCGGTTCTTACTATGTTACAGAGCCCCTGATTGTGACATCGAACATGCAAACAAGCTAAATACACTACTAACTTGGGCAGCATCCTGCCCGCACGCTTTTATCTTTCTTGGTGACTTCAACTTACCTCATATTAACTGGACCCTTAACGAATGTACAACTGAACCCACACATGCAACCTTCTACAATGCAGTAACAAATCCGGGACTAGAACAACTAGTAACCAACAACACTAGACTTAACAACTGCCTTGATCTCATCTTCTACAATAGTTTGAATTCAATTTACGGAATACAAATTAAAGAACCCTTTTCCAACTGTGACCACAACATGATTGACTTTTGTCTCAATATACGTCCACACAAAAATCATCACAACGACGTAATCCCCAATTATAACTTCAAAAAAGGCAACTATGATCTTATAAACAACAATCTCTCATCCCTTGATTGGCAATCTCTATTCACTGGATGCAATACTGTAGAAGACCATTACAACATATTTTTACTTGAAGTCAAGAGTCATCAAACTATATGTACCATTAACAACTCCCAAAACCAGAAAAAACAAATTACCCATAGCAATAAGGAAGCTTCAATCCAAAATGAAATCACTTTGGCAGAAAAACAAATCTGGTCACATTGCCAACTTCAAAAGCCAATACAAAAATTTATGCCACCAGATAAAAAACTGAATGCACTAATTATCACATTAAACAAGAAGAAAACCTTCTATGCACCAATTCCACCCGTGCTTTTTACAATTTTGTAAACAACAAACTAAAAGACTCAAGGTCCATCCCACCCCTGATAGGACCTAATGGTAAAGACTGCAACGACGACACCATTAAAGCCAACCTCTTTAACACATTCTTTGGCTCACTATTTGTAAACAGCAATGGATCATGCCCAGTATTTCCTGGCCGAACCACAGACAACTACAATGATCTAATACATATCGATTTTACAGAAGACAATGTTGAAAAAGCACTACGCAATCTAGAACCATCTCTATCTATTGGACCGGATGGAATATGTGCCTACTTCTTAAAAAAGCTATCCACTGCCATAGCCCAACCTCTAAGCATAATCTTTGGAAAATCTTTCAGGACCAGCTCCTTGCCAAAACTATGGTCACAAGCCCCGGTCATCCCCATCTTCAAAAAGGGAGACCCCAGCCTAGTTGAAAATTACAGACCAATCTCTTTATGCTATGCCACTTGTAAAGTCATGGAATCAATTATTAACCAATCCATTATCCTCCACTTAGAGACAAACAACCTACTCTCTAATAAACAATTTGGTTTCAGGAAAAAACTATCCTGTAATCTGCAACTCTTACACTGCAAAAACATATGGACTACACAACTCGATCAGGGCAAAGCAATAGACGCAATCTACACAGACTTCTGTAAAGCCTTTGATTCAGTGGTACACGACAAACTACTCCTAAAACTAAAATCTTACGGTATCTCTGGACACCTGCATAACTGGATAGAAGCATTCCTCATTCTACCCCCCCCCTTACCCTCCCCTCTCTTCTCCCATTCTCTTTTCTTTCTTTCTTTCCTGGCCTCTGCCAAGGCCTGTTTGTTTGTTTTTTCTGTATATGATTTGTAGATGTGTTGTTTTTAAAGGTAAAATTAATAAAGTTTCTTTAAAAAAAAAAAAAAGAAGCATTCCTGTCAAACAGACAACAAATGGTCAAAATTGGGAGTGTCCTATCAAATTCTGTACCTGTCAACAGTGGTGTCCCCAAGGCAGTGTTCTAGGACCAGCTCTCTTCATACTCTACATAAATGACCTCTGTGATCATATCAAGAACAACTGCGTTCTCTTCGCTGATGATATAAAGCTATTCAACACCACAGACAATACTGTTACCCTTCAAAAAGACCTTGACTATGTATCAGAATGGTCAAACAAATAGCAACTTCAAATCTCAACAAATAAATGCTTTGCCCTACATATTGGCAAAAAAAATCAGAAAATAAAATACAGGCTGAATAGTCAAGACCTTGTTGAGGATCTAAACTCTGTCAAGGATCTTGGAGTACTCATCTCTAATGATCTAAGTGCTAGAGCCCACTGTAACAACATAGCCAAAAAGGCGTTAAGAGTTGCTAACCTAATCTTACGTAGCTTTTTTCTCTGGTAATATTACACTAATTAGAGCAAACAAAACATTTGCTAGACCAATACTCGAATACAGCTCATCAGTCTGGAACCCACATTACTATCTGATATTAACACAGTTGAAAAAGTCCAGAAATATTTCACAAGAAGAGTACTCCTCTACTCATTGCAGAATACCTTATGCCACCAGACTTGAAATTCTAGACCTAGAAAACTAGAACTACGCCACCTCGGTCTGATCTAAGTATAGTATATAAAATTATACATTGCAATGATTTACCTGTCAATGAATCCTTCAGCTTCAACCATAACAACACAAGAGCACTCAATAGATACAAACTCAAGGTAAACCGCACCAAACTTGATTGCAGGAAATACGACTTCAGCAACAGAGTGGTCAATGTCTGGAATACTCTACCTGACTCTGTGGTTTCTTCCCCAAACCCCAAAAACTTTAACCTTAGACTGTCTACTGTTGACCTCACCCCTTTCCTAAGAGGTCTGTAGGGGGCGTGCATAAGCGCACCAACGTGCCTACCGTCCCTGTCCTATTGTTTCTCTTATTCTTTTATTTTTCTTGTATGTATCCATGTATTCATAACTATGTTTTTACTTATACCTATTATCTTGTAAGCAATTGACAAAAATAAATAAATAAGATAAATAAATGTTGGACCACGATCCCCATAATCCCAAACCCCTGCAAGTGCGGGCTGGGGAATATGGGGGTTGCAATCCACTAGATCTAGAAGATTCCCATCTAGGATGGGAAATATTCTCTTAAACATTTTAAAGAGAATTTTAGGGAAAATAATAATAACGAGCAGGACCAATTGCAAAATATTTTTTAAAAGCTCCATTATATGAGTTCAGTCAGACGCAGGAGGGTCTCTACCGGGTCCTCACCTATCCTCTCCAGATCCATCTCAGCTGCCACGGTTCGCTCATGGACCGACCCGGAAACTTTCCCCTTCGGGCTGTCATACTAAGGGCGGAACCTTCCCCTCACCAAAAGGAAGGGTAGTTGAAGCCAAGCCCTGTTTCTCAAAGCGGTGGTATACATTGGTACGTCGGTAAGCGGAAGTGAAACGGGATTGGTCAATCACAATGAAGGGCGGAAGCCTGGTAGGAGAAAAATGGCTTTAGTTTCGAACGAAGGGACGGATTGGCTAACCGAGACAAGAGCCGCTGTCCAATGGCGGGTTGGTATGCAAATCAGCATGCAAATCCCCACTCGACCCGAAGACAGCCAATGAGCTCTTCATTCAAATACGGATTTAAAAACAAAAAACAAAAAAACTGTTCGGCTTCGGATCCTCCCGTGCTTCGAACGTCATCACTGTGTCATGGTTCAGCCAATGAGAGCCCAAGTATGCAAATCGAGAACGCCCTCTCTCTTGTTTTCCTTGCCGATTTTTTCCGCTCTCGTGCCTCTGAAGGGTTAGGTCCCTGTAATTCTCAGCCAATAGCTTTCGCGTCGCTGGGCGGCTTATGCAAATTAAGCCTCCTCACGACTCTTCCTCCTCCTCCTCCATTTTGGGAAGGGTCGACTCTAGACTGAAAGGCAAGCCATTAAAAACAACGACTGGTGAGTGTGGGGCGGAATCAAAGCAAGGGGGCTCCCAACCGTCGTTGCGTTCAGCGTTGGCCTGAGCCGCAATGCATCTTGGGACGGGCTCGGCGCCAGTTCCTAGGGAAAGAGGGGAGGAGGAGGGGGAAAACTGGTTCCCGGTGCATCCTGGGAAGGCGCGCTGCATTGTGGGAGGGTCCGGAGCGGAACGTTACGTTGTCCCAGGGATTCATAGGCGCGGACGGCGGGTGAGGCGAGTTCGAATCCGGGGCTTCCTTCAATTTGGAGCCGTTGCAGGTGAGTCCCTGACACGCCCAGGAATCCACTCCGGGATCCCCCCCCATCCCACGTCACCCCGGAAGTGCCTATCCTGGTGAGCGCGGGGGGTGGGGTGAGTGTAAATTGTTGTAAATCGAGGACTTACCTGGACGGTCTCTCTGGATTTGGCTGCAGTTGCTAAAGCTTTCTGACTCCCAATAACCCTGTGAAGAGATAAATAAAGGTAACCTGCTGCAGCAGCCGTCAGTGTGAAAATTGGGTCCCCAAATCCCTTTTTTTCACTGGCCCTTGTAATGTCGAACCGTCACTAAACAAGCCATTGTAAAGTCGAGGACTTACTTGGACGATCTCTCTCTCTCTCTGTATTTGACGGGTTCCTAAAGGTTCCTGAGTCCGTGGCAAAACTCACCGGGATTTGGGTTGCAGCCAAATCCAGGGAGACCGTCCAGGTAAGTCCTCGACTTACAACGGTTCGTTTAGTGACCCGTTCAAAAGTTACAAGGGCCACTGAAAAACAAGGGACTTGGGACCGTTTTTCACACTGATGACTGCTGCAGCCCTCTTGATCCATTCGCAGCTTTACACGGACTCAGAAACCTTTAGGAACTGCAGCCGAATCCACAGAGATTTGTCCAGGTAGTCCTCGATGTACACCGCTTCGTTTAGTGACCGAAGTTACGGGGCCACTGAAAAGAGGGACGTAGGGCCCTTTTTCACACGACTGCTGCAGCGGATTATTTTTATTTTATGTATTCAAGTTATAACACTGCCCGTCTCGCTATTCAGAGCGGCAGCTCTGGGCAGCTAACAGTGCAATAAAAATCAAAGTATAAAAACTAGAATAGAATAGAATAAAAATAGAATAGAATAAAATAAAAATAGAATAGAATAGGAATGGAAGGAAATGGGAATTGAATTGAATTGAATTGAATTCTTTATTGGCCAAGTGTGATTGGACACACAAGGAATTTGTCTTTGGTGGGTATGCTCTCAATGTACATAAGAAAAAAAATACATTCATCCAGGATCATAAGGTTCAACACTTAGTAATACTCATAGGTTACTAAGCAATGAAATCATACATAGGTTACAAATACGCAATCAAAACATACTAGGAAAACAAATAAACAATCCAAATTACTTTTCGTTTAGTTTACTTTATTGTCATTGCACCTCGTACAACGAAGCTGTAATTGTAACGATACAAGCAACACAGTTATAAGTGGGAAGAGGTAGGTAATGGGACAGATAAGAAGAAGAATAGTAATACAATCTTATTAAGTAATTTGACAGTGTTGTGGGAGTTATTTCTTTAGCAGAGTGATGGCATTCAGGGGGAAAAACTGTCCTTGTTTCTAGTTGTTCTGATGTGCAGTGCCCTATAGCAGGGGTCCCCAACCGCCGGTCCGCGGACCGGTACCGGTCCGCGGAACAACCCTTACCGGGCCGCTGGTTGCTGGGCGCCGCCATCTTTTTTTTGGTAAAAAAGCGCTTCCGGGTAGAAAGTTCACCGGAAGCGCTGTTTCGTCATAAAAAGATGGCGGCGCCCAGTTGACGCCGGTACCGGGCCGCGGCGCCCAGCTGATGTCGGAACCGGGCCGCGGCGTCGAAAAGGTTGGGGATCCCTGCCCTATAGCTTCATTTTGAGGGTAGAAGTTGAAACAAATTTATAAATTTAGATACAGTTACCAGAGTTGAATGGACTAAACATCAAGGGCTGTTACAGAGTGGTTTGATGTCTTCTTATGTTTAAAATACACAATGGATGTAAAGGTAGTTGTCAAGTTACAAAAGTCCATTTAGCAACCATTCAAAGTTACAAAGGCATTGAAATGAAGCGACTTAATTTTTCGCACTTATGACCATTGCAGTGTCCTCATGGTTGCATAATCAAAATTGAGACGCTTGGCAAGAGGCTTATCTTTACGACCGTGTTACAAGTCTTCCTGCGTCACATGAGGTCCCCTTTTGCGACCTTATGACCAGCCAAGTCAGCAGGCAAGCCTGATTCACTTAACCGAGTTACTAACCGAAGAACTGCAGCGATTCATTTGATGGCGCTGGCAGGGAAGGTCGTAAAATGGGGCAAAATTCACATCCCCAATGTCTTGCTCAGCAACAGAAATTTTGGCCTTAGTTGTGGTTGTAAGTCAAGGAGCATCAAGGACCACCTGCATCAGAGGTGGTATTCAGCAGCTTCTGACCAGTTCAGAAGAGCCGGTAGTGAAAATTTTGAGTAGTTTTGAGAACCGGCAAATCCCAACTCTGACTGGCCCCGCCCCCATCTATTCTCCGCCTCCCGAGTCCCAGCTGATTGGCTGGATCTTCTTTGGTTGCCCTGCACAAGAGAATGGAGCTGGAAAGCAGGTTAGTGGGATGGGGAGGGAATGGAGATTTTGCAGTAACCTTCCCCTGCCACACCTACCAAGCCACGCCTACCAAGCCATGCCACACCCACCAAGCCATGCCCACAGAACCGGCAGTAAAAATTTTGAATCCCACCACTGACCTGCATGAGCCTAAGTTTGGGACTCACTGCAAAAAACAAAAGAGTGGCTGCTTTTTTAAGCAAGGGCAGGAAAGAGAATAGCGTGCCCAAACAGCACTGACAAAAATGACTTATGATCATTTTTCATACTTATGACAGAATAGAATATAGAACAAAATATAGAATAGAATAGAATAGAAAAGAATAGAAAATAGAACAGAATAGAAAATAGAATAGAATTATAGAACAGAATATAGAATAGAAAATAGAATATACAATACAATACAATACAATACAATATAGAATAGAAAATAGAATAGGATATAGAATAGTATATAGAATAGAATAGAATAGAATTCTTTATTGGCCAATAAAATTCCTTAGACACACAAGGAATTTGTCTTTGGTGCATATGCTCTCAGTGTACATAAGTGTACATAAGAAAAAAATACATTCAAGAATCATAAGATACAGCACTTAATGATAGTCATAGGGTACAATAAGCAATCAAATATAGTAGGAAACCATATCAATCGTAAGGATACAAGCAACAAAGTTACAGTCATACAGTCATAAGTGGGAAGAGATGGGTGATAGGAAGGATGAGAAGATTAATAGTATTAGTGTAATAGTGTAGAAGATTAATGTAATAATAATTATTAATATCAGTAATTATTAATAATTATTAGTAATATTAATAGCGTAATTGTCAGGATTCCGGCAGTTACCAGAAATAGTGTAATGTAATAGTGCAGAAGATTAATAATCATATAAAATGACTTCACAACTGTCTCACTTAGCAACATAAATGGGTTCAGTTGCAGTCGTAAGTCAAGGGATACCTGTAACACGTTTGCTTTAACAAATAGAAATTGCCGTGTTAATACATTACAAGAAAAAAATGCAGCGATAAAATATACAAATATGAAATGCAATGGTAAAATATGTTAAATGTGTATTTGCTAATTCTAAGGAGTATAGCCATCAGCAATCGAATACCGAGCTTTACCTGACTGATTCCTTCCTTGGTTTTCAATTCTAGGCAGTACTGTGTCATTCCATCATGATTGTTTTGCCACCTGGGTTAACAGAAGATGAGGAGGCTCTGCAGAAGAAATTTGCCAAGCTTAAGAAAAAGGTGAGCTTGTTCACCTTGAGGGTGAAATTATTCTTATTAAGTACAGGTAGTCTTTGACTTAACAACAGTTCCTTTAGCGAAGTTACAACGGCATTGGAGAAAAAAAGAAGATTTATGACCTCTTTTTCACACGACTGTTGCAGCATCCCTATGGTCACGTGATCAAAATTCGAGCCCTTAGCAACGTGACTCGTATTTATGACAGCTGCAGTATCCCGGGGTCATGTAATCCACCTTTTGTGACCTTCTGACAAACAAAAGTCAGCGTGGATGCCAGATTCTCTTTTTAACAACTGCAGGGATTCATTTAACAAGTGTGGCAAGAAAGGTCATAAAACGGAGCAAAGATAACAACTGCCTCGCTTAGCCACAGAAATGTTAGGCTCAATTGTGGGCGTCGGTTGAAGACCCCCTGTATAGATCAAGGGGTTGAACGTCAGCCAGATGTATAGTACAATCTTCTATATACCTAAAAGCGAAATACCACTCACGCATCATCACAAAATCTCCGCCAGAACCGTAAAGCCTACAGACTTGAAATTTGGCACGTTTGTTCCTCTTGGCTTCTAGGTGGTCACTAAGAAAGGATGTTTTGAAATGACCATCAGAGCGTTAGTATTTCTTATATTATTATTACGAACATATTCTGATGCTAAGGGGTTCTACTCCTCCTCCCCACCTGAAAATAAACCTGTTCCAAATGCAAAACACAAGCAGAGGAGAGGCGTTTCAGTTTCACAGTAAGCAACCAGCTTTAGTACAGAACAGTTGAGCTAAGCCACGCCCAGGCTCCTTGCTGTCTCCTTGCTCATACAGCAAATACTGTTACAGTTTCCAAACAGCCCTCATCTCTCTCACACACTGACAGGACGCTAGCCAGATGAATAGTGATGGATGCTGGTAGGCAGAGGCAGAATTTCCCCCCCACTTTATTTTCCTCCCCATAAACTAAGCCCGACCACATCATTTCGTAACGAAACCACGAGTATCAAGCTAGTAGGATATAAACGGACTAGCCAAAGTTATTTTGGGGAAGGAAGGGATGTTGGACTATGCGTATCACTTAGTGACTTTATTTTCTTCTTCTTCCCATCCAGAAAAAGGCCCTCATGGCCTTAAAAAAACAGCAGGGTTCAACCAGTCAGGCTATCCAGGGAGGAATTAAACGATGTAAGTCGGACTTCGGTGAAAAGATGGGCTGCTGTGAGGGAGGCGCCCTCCTGCCAATGTTGCCCATTTGGGGACAGGAGTTTTTCCCTTTCTTCCCTGTTTCCAGCCATCTCAGATCAGCCAGTAGTCGACACCGCGACAGCCACAGAACAAGCCAAGATGCTGGTGAAAACGGGGGCCATCAGTGCCATTAAGGTTGAGAACAAGAACTCGGGATTCAAACGCTCTTGGACTCGGAAGGTGAAGCCAAAAGTAAGCCGGGTTAATGCAAGGAGGTGCAGGAGAAACACTCTTAATGCAGGGGTGTCCATCCTGGGGAACTTTTTAAGTCCTGTGGACTTCAAGTGCCAGAATTCCTCAGCCAACATGGCTGCTCTAGTGGGTTGGGCCAAAGGTGCCTTTTAAAGAGGCAATTGGACGTTCTCGTTTTTTCTTTGAAGATGTTTTGCTTCTTATCCAGGAAGCTTCTTCAGCTCTGACTGGATGGTGGGGAATGGAAGGATTTACACTCCTTGCCGACAGCTGGTCATTTGCATCTTTTTAGCCAGTGGGTTGTTAAGGTCACCTGGAAGTTTATCTATGTCCTCAGGGTCACCTGAGTGGTGCAAATGGGTGTGGATTGTGGAGCCTTCTTGGAACTGTTGAAAGGACTGTGTTGTAGACCAGAGATAGATAACAGATAATCAGAGTTAGAAGGGATCTTGTAGGTTATCTAGTCCAACCCCCCACCCAAGCAGGAGACTCTATACCATTTCTGACATATGGCAGTCCAATCTCTTCTTGAAGGTCTCAAGTGATGGCGCTCCCACAACTTCTGAAGGCAAAGCTGTTCCATTGGTTGATTGTTCTCACTGTCAGAAAGTTTCTCCTTATTTCTAGGTTAAATCTCTCCTTGTTCAGTTTCCATCCATTATTCCTTGTCTGGCCTTCGGGTGCTTTAGAAAATAGCTTGACCCCCTTCCTCTCTGTGGCAGCCCCTCAGATATTGGAAGACTGCTATCATGTCTCCCCTGGTCCTTCTCTTCACTAGACTAGCCAAGCCCAGTTCCTGCAACCGTTCTTCATATGTTTTAGTCTCCAGTCCCCCAATCATCCTGGTTGCTCTTCTCTGTACTTTTTCTAGAGTCTCAACATCTTTTTTGTAGTGTGGTGACCAAAACTGGATGCAGTACTCTAGGTGTGGTCTTACTAAGGCTTTATAGAGGGGTATCAGTACCTCACTTGATCTCGATTATATCCCTCTGTTAATGCAATTTAGGATTGCATTAGCTTTTTTGGCTGCTGCTGCACACTGCTGGCTCCTATTTAGCTGGTTGTCCACTAAGACTCCAAGATCCCTCTCACAGATCATGATGTCGTCTTCCTCCCCCTCTGCTGAGAGAGGGCGTGTTCAGTTTTGGCATAGATGGCCTAATGTGACCCTTCTTTCAAACCAGCGGTCCTCTCCATCCAAAATGATGACTTTGCTGTCCTCCAAAGAGGGGCCTGTGTCTTTTAAATGCAGGGGGATGGATATAACACCATCCATCTTCAATCTGCAACAGGGGTGTCAAACTCGGTTTCATATAGGGTGTCGCCTCAGGGTGGTTTTTTTGACCTTGGGAGGGCCCGGGGTGGGGGGGCGTAGTCAGGGTGGGCATGGCCAGCATGACGTCACTTGTGTTGGCGGGGGGGGGTCGCCTGTGGTAGCCCGAGCACTCTGCCAGCGAAAATGGTCTCCTGTTTTAGGTTGTGACAGCCTCCTGCAACCCTCTGCCAGAGAAAATGGAGGTCGGGGAACTGTACGCAGCCCTCATGAGTTCCGTTTTTGGCTGGGATGGCCTCCTGCTACCCTCTGGCAGCAAAAAGAGAGCTCGGGAGGGCCGTGTGTCGCCCTCACAAGCTCCGTTTTCCCTGGCAAAGGCATCCTGGGCCGGTCCTTTGCTATTACCAGGGTAGCCCCCACAGGCCAGATCTCAGCCCCCCCCCCGCGTGCCCGATCCGGCCCCCAAGCCTTGAATTCAACATCTCTGGTCTACAACACAGTCCTTTTCAACCATTCCAAGAAGGTTCCACACACCCATTTGCACCACTCGGGGGGGGGACGGGGACCCTGAGGACACCGATAAAACCTCCAGGTGACATTAACGACTGGCTAAAAAGAATGCAAACGGACCACCTGTCTGCAAGGAGCAGAAATCTTTCCATTCCCTACCATCCAGTCAGAGCTGAAGAAGCTTCTTGGATGAGAAGCGAAACGTCTTCAAAAGAAAAATCAGAAAGTCCAGTTGCCTCGGGGGGTGGGTGGGGGGGAAGCACCTTTGGGACAAACCATGAGCTGGAGGACTGAGAATCTCCATAGACCTCTAGTGGGTTGGGGTTGCTTTTAGCTTGCTTTTTAATGCCTGTTTGCCTTTAGGAGACCAAGAAGGGGTCTGCCCCAACTTACCAGCCCTTTCAGCGCAGCGTCTCAGCGGATGACGATTCCCAAGAGGTAACTGAGATACAATTCCCTAATCAGGGTGGGAAATTGGTTTAGGTCAGTGCTTGCGTAGTTCTCCTTCAGCGGTTCAAAATATCCGTTCAGAGGTTCAGAATATCCGTTCAGTCGCTCCTACCCCGGTCTTCTCCTCTGTGGACTACTATGATGGGGCTACCCTTGAAAAGTATCCAGAAACTTTACCTGTGATGCTGAGTGCGGCCACGTGAGCTAAATGTCAGGATTCTGGCACTTAACCCCAATTAAATCATGAGTCTCGAGCCAAACTTCCAAAACTTCAAAAGGATTTATTGGGGGTTAACATGTCTGGCACTGCCTGGGTGTAAGCCAACTCTGAGACACAACATTCATTCTCACCCTTGACCCTGGTTTCCCCCACCCCACCCCCTGGGTGTATCATAATTCATATTCTCCAATGGAACACATCCATAGCCAAGAGTCATCAATCATGCTCTCCAGTTAGATTTTTGCATGACAGAAACTTCGGTCACCTAGTTAACTATCTTTGAAAACTTTTTATGGAATGCAGTTTTAGTTTCCAAGCTGTCGCACTGCTCCCCCCCCTCCCTTTCTGTTGGCAACTCTAAAAGACCATAGAAATATTGTATGAGTTGACATTATACCGGGTACCCAAAGAAGGGCACAAGTAACACCTCTGCTCCTCAAACTGCATTGGGCGCCAGTTTGCTTCTGCATCCAATTCAAGGTGACTCTTCGCAGGTTACAACATCGTTGAAAAAAAAGTGACTTATGACCTGTTTTCTAATAGTTACGACCATTGCAGCATCCCCATGATCATGTGATCCACATTCAGGTGCTTGGCAACGTAACATTTACGACTGTTGCTATAGGTCAGTGGTGGCTAACCTTTTGGGGCTTGCATGCTAGCACTCAGAATGCAATGTGCGTGCCCTCCACACCCCCTGCGCATGCGCACGCAATCCCCCACCCCCCGCCACCCCCTTACCTGCATTGCGCCTCACGGCTGATTTGTCTGCTGGGTTGAGGCCTTTTTCGGCCTCCCAGAGGCTTGGAAAAACCCTCTGCGAGGCTTTTCAGGATGAATTATAGGCCCGTTTCGTCACTTCCGGTATTACAGGAAGTGATGAAATGGGCCTATTCGCCCTGAAAAGCCTTGCAGAGGCTTTTTCCAAGCTTCTGGGAGGCTGAAAATGGCCTCAACCCAGCAGAAAAATCAGCCGTGAGGCGCATGCATACACAGTGAGGTAAGTTTGCCTGCAGCTCACGTGCCGGCACAAATGGCTCTGCGTGCCACTTGTGGCACGCGTGCCCTAGGTTCGCCATCACGGCTCTAGGTGTTACAGGTAGTCCTCGACTTACACGCAGTTGTTTGGTGGCCATTCCAAGTTTACAACGGCACTGAAAAAAACGTGAAGAAGCTCAAACCGGAAGCTCAAACTCAAAGCTCAAGGTTGCAACGCCAAGCCAAATGGGGAAGCCAGTTTCATTTCACCGCCGGGTGATTAACTTCTCAACTGCCGTGATTCACTTAGCAGCCGTGGCAAGAAAAAAAAAATCGTAAAACGGGGCAAAGCTCACTTAACAATCAAAAGGTTGGGCTCAGTTGTTGTGGTACCTTGAGGACTCCCTGTAGTTATGACCTATAAAGCCCTACCTGGCATAGGGCCAGGTTACCTATCATCCCAACACATCAGCCTGTCCTCTACCCAGTCAGGCAGAGACAGTGTATTATGGACATTGTCCGTTTTAAGAATTTTACTGGCTGGGTCTAAGGAAGAGAGCCTTCCCTGCCGTTGCCCCTACCCTCCTGAAAAATTCTTCCATCACAAGTGAGACAGCCCCCCCCCCCCAATTCTCCATTCTGGCCTTCCAGAAAGCGGGTTAAAACATGGCTCTGTGCACTTTGGCAACAGTGCCCAAAGGAACATGCAGTCATAAAGAGTTGGTTAATGCCATGACAGTGCTCCCTTGGCCTTTGTCAACCAATTTTTAACAGGGTTAATTATTCTTGTTTCCATAGGGGAGAAAAATGTTATAAGTTGTAAACTTTTTTTTTTACTTTTTAAAAAAATTTATACACTGCTTTAGATTTCAATGTTTTACTGCATACTGCCCAGGGCCCCTCTGTTCTGACCCACGCCCTTTTCCGACAAACACTATTCAAAAAGAACAGAAACCTTGTCATGCTTTTACAAAATAATTAGCTGTGATAAGCACAAGCCTTGCCAAACTGTGCGAGACTTGCCAAAAGATAACAGACAAGAGATAATTTGCAAAATAAGAATCTTCAAATACAAACTCGGGAGATACTAGAATGTCCACGAGGCTGTAGTTTCAAAATGTCTTTGCCTTCTGCAAAGAATGTTGGTTTCACACCTGGCTTTTATCTGCTTGAAGGAGGGGCCATTACCTTGCAGCCTTACTCGTGAGTCACCCATGCTGTTGCTCTTTCCTATGAGCAATCCTGCGTGCACATGCACTTGGCACAGGCTCCTCGGGAACCTCCTCATCGCTGCTGCCAGCCCCCACAATTTCTGAAGGCTGCAGTCCACTCCCTAATGGTCCTGGCCCCTCATCTGAGTCCTCGCTTTCCTCCAACGTCCGCACCTGCTGCCAGCTAACCACAACACCCTCCTTGAGTGAGATGGGTGGCTTAGAAATGTGGAATGTAAATAAATAAATAAACAAACTTTGCCAGATGTGACATACAGTACCATATATAGTACCAGACGTGGCTCCTTGATGGGTCTCCTCCACCTCCATCCATCTCTCATGAAGAGCTAGTAACTTTGATTCACCTTGTGGAGGGATCTAGGGAGCTTTTTAATCCTTTCACCAGTTTTTTTATCCTGGGATAGACTCCTGGATGGTGGAAATAGACTGTGGATTGTGGGATTGTGCCAAAAATCAACATTTCCAAGAAACTTGCACAACCCTCTCTTAGGATCAGTAGTGAACTGCAGCCAATTCGGACCGGCTCACCCCGTAGTTCCGACCATTGACTGGGCCTGCCCACCCGCCCCGTTGCTATCCCTTCCTATGTATCTGGCTCACTCGCTTTGCCCACGCAGCCCAGATGCTGTCCATGCCTCGCCCACTCTACTCACCGCAGCTGCTGAGCGCAGGAAATCCCTGTCGTTTTGCAGCTGCGCTCATGCGCTCACACGCTCACCCTTTCAGTTCTGCACGAGGCAAACCGGTTATTACAATCCATGCAGCCCACCTCTGCTTAGGATGAAATGAACGCTGAGAAAACTTCCTTTCCCTTTTCAGCTAGCCACACTTCCTCCATCCCCTCCTCAAAGGCATTAAGATTTTTTTTTTTTGAATTAAGATTTATATCCCATTTTGTTTTAAACAACTCAAGGCAGTGCCCCTACAGGTATTCCTCGCTTACCAACCATGATTGTAGTCAGCAGTTCTTTTTTTTTTTTTAAGAATTTTATTAATTTTCAATAAACAAACATACACATACAAAACACAAAACAAAAACATAAAACTTCTTTTTGGAAAGCGGCTTAGTCCCAGGTTACATCTTTTTGTGCAGACATAAATTCAAATTGATGCTCACTTTATATACCATTTCATATCTTATTTACCATTCTACATTTTCTATATAGCTTCTCCCCTCTTTTCACTCTCTTAATTCTATTTTATTTATTTCATCTCAATTTAAATCATTATGCTTATATCTTTTGTCTGTTCTGTTTCAATTATCTATTATCTTTTTTCATTGACACAAAATTTCTCCTGTAATCACTGATTGAAGTATGATGCCTTTATATCTTTCCCCTAAATAACACTTAAAATAATATATAATTTTCATTCTCATTCTGCTTAGTACACTCTAAAACTACGTACTATATTTAAAATAAGAAGGAATAATAAATTTATAATATAGTTAAAACAATAATCCATAACAATTTAAACTCTATCGTTAAATCAAGAAGGGATGTAGTCAGCAGTTCTTTTGCTAAGCACCGTGATCATTCAATGGGAAAAAAAAACCACATAACTGTACCAGACTTAGAATGTAATTTCTCACTTAATAAGCTTTTCTTTTTTCATCTTTCATTTTAGAGCCGGCGCCCCTCAAGGAAGTATCTCTATGAGAGGTTGGTTCCATTTACACCATCATTTGTTTTTATTCTTTTATTTATCAATTACATTTATATGTCATCCATCTCCCCAATAAGGTGACTTATGGTACTATCAGGATAATTTCTCCTATTCATGCCAGCTTTGGCAAGCAGGATCGGTTCAGTCGTCGGAGAAATGCAGTTGATAAAGGGCGCATTTTTGTGTTGAGGCACAACCGTCACTCTTTAGTGCAGGGGCCTGCAACCTCAAACACTCAAAGAGCCATTTGGATCCGTTTGCCACAGAGAAGAAAACACCGGGAGCCAATAATTTAACAACCGGTGTGACTGGGTGGGTATGGCCAACTTAACGTCACTCACTCCCACCCACCCACCTCCTGCTCTGGAATATGGAGCGAGTCTCCACCCACCCTTACCTTCTCAGGCCAGCCGAGGAGTGACGGGGAGGGGCCAGCCAGTGGTGGGATCAGCCGACAGGGAGCCGCAGCAGAAGGCCAAAAGAGCCGCATGTGGCTCCAGAGCCACAGGTTGCAGACTCCTGGTTTAGGGTAACTTTTTTTCGTTTTGGTGGTTTTAGTTGGAACTAAACAGATCGACAGGTTCTTTGGTGTGGAAAAAAAAGGTGCGCCTAGAATTGAGGGATCGGGAACCTAGGAACTGATTCTGAAAACTAGAATTTGTTATTTTTCCACATATCGATGTGTACTTCCAACACTAATTTTGAAAGTGAAGAATTCTTTGATTGTCGCTCTTTGCTAATAACCAAAGATTCAGATGTCATGCAGACCAGGGCTCCACAGATCTGCATATTGGCTGGGCATTACTTCAGATGTGCAAAGTACCATTACGTGTGTAGGTAAAAAGCTGCCCTGTAAATTATTATTATTTTATAAATGACAGTCCTTTAAAATAATGGTCTCCAACCTTTTCTGGATCGGCGGAGCATTGGAGGTGGCGGTGGTGGCAATGGGGGAGGAGAGGGGACGGCTGCGCATGCGTGCCTAACTTTCCTAATGCAGCTGTGTGCACACACTCGCCCACCACTTCTGTGGCCTGGTTCTGAATAGTCTACGGCCAGGCGCCAGGCCCCAGGCTGGGGGGGGGGGGGGGGGGGGGGGACCCCAGCTTTAAAAAAAAAAAAAAGAACCTCAGTAGAGTCTTATGAGACTGTGAGGGATATCGTGTTTATTATGGTAACAGGGTTATCTCAAGAGATGGAAAGAAATCAGATGGAGGTCAAATGCAAAGAGTTGAGAATGACATTGCTAAAAGTAGCCCTTTGCAAAGCGTTTGGGGAAGGATAATGTAGACCAGGGGTGTCAAACTTGCGGCCCACGGGCCAGATGCGTCACAAGCTGGCCCCGTCCCGTTTTGCAAAGGGGGATAAGGCCCCATAGGTCATGTGACGCTGCCATGATGATGCGAGTTTGATACCCCTGACGTAGACATTAAAAATTGAAAGCTCTTTTCAACGTTTGCCTGCAAGCGAATGGGAGGAAAGAAAAGGCAAGTGATATGATACTTGAAGGCTTGAAAGCAAACCACAAAAAGGCAAATCTGTCAATCTTTTTTTCCTGCCTTTTTAAATTATTTTTTTTATTTGTAATGTAATAAATCCATCTTCGGTTGAACAATGTGTTGTCTGGGTACAGGTATCTTTGTTGAACAGTAGTCAAAATTTGCAGCATCATTCATTACATTGGTATTGATTCTACAGTATTAAAATAGTAATATTCCACATATTCTACAATATTAAAATAATAATCAACATACTAATCATAATGTTTACTTATCTCTTTTAATACATCTTCTTTATTTTGTTTCCCTGTTTCTAACTTCCATTTTTGTTGCTTAAATATTGATAAAATAAATCCCATGTCCTACAATATTGAGTTTGCTCTTTCTCCTTAATTGCAAGCCTTAGTCTGTTCATTTTTTATTTTTTTATTTTTTATTTTATTTTAATATATTTATTTTTAGTTTTTTATTTTTCTTATAAGTATCTACCTCATGTATTCAAAACTATATTTATTCTTATACCTGTATCTTGTAAGTGATTGACAAATCAAATAAATACTAAATACTAAAAATTTCTCCACATTCTGCAAATCTGTCAGTCTTGATTGTCCTTTGCCTACCAGGCTAAGTGTTACATTTTGTCAGAGTATATTCATAAACTGGGATAGAGCTTGGTAACAAGGTCAGCCAATGAATAGGCATAGCAACTAAGTCAGCCAATGAGGACTGTTTGGAAACTGAAACTAGAAGTAGCCTAGGCATGGCTCTATATTAAGCTCTGAAGGTATGTTAAGCTCTGAGTCTGTCTATTGAAGATGAAACTGCTTCTCTCCTCTGCTGTGTGTCTTGCTTGCCTGCTGAACTAAAGTGAAACTGATGTCTGTTTCTGAGCTCTCCTGAGTTACTGTTCTGCTCTGAACCTGCAACATGTCTGCTTCTGTTTGAGTTGGCTCCATGTTGGAGAAATCTACAACTGGTATTGTAATATTTACTGTATGTGTTTATAAAGAAGTTAAATGAAGCCTCAGCCATCTGTGTTTACTTTTCTGGCGCTGAATTTACGCTGCAATACTCTGAACCCGTTTCATGCCAGTTATTTCCTTCTGTGCCCCAGCAGTTCTGATTTGGAGAAGTAGACACCCAGTGTCCTCTCCATACTTAGCTGCTTCTCCAGATTCCGCCACCTCTATTGAATAAATTCTCTTCCTTTCTTTTTCTCTCCTAGTTTTGTGAGCTCCAGCGATAGCCTGAGAGATCCAGAGAACGAGCCAGAAGAAGGCAGAGATCCAGACAAAGAAACCGATCAGAGTGAAAGTCTGCATGGACATGAGAGGAACAATGACCGGGATCGTAGCCGGGACAGGAGTAGGGACCGGGACAGAGACCGAGACCGAGACCGGGACAGAGATCGAGATCGAGACCGGGACAGAGATCGAGACCGAGACCGGGACAGAGATCGAGGGCGTGAACGAGACCGGGACAGAGAAGGCTTCCGTCGTAAGAAATACTTGGTTGTTCTGGATGGCAGTGTTATCAGGCTGAGTTACTTCAAAACAATTTCCTTTTATTGCTTCTCTGCTATAAAAGCATTTCACGCTAGTAATACCATTACTAAATTTGAAGATGATACAACAGTGGTGGGACTCATCTCTGCGGGGGATGAGTCTGCCTACCGAGATGAGGTGGACCGATTGCTTTTGTGGTGTGGAAACAATAACTTGGTCCTCAACACCAATAAGACCAAGGAGCTTATAGTGGACTATAGAAGGAACAGATCAGACATTCAGCCCTTGCTTATCAATGGAGACCGAGTGGAGCAAGTGGCCAGTTTTAAGTTTCTGGGTGTTACCGTAAAAGAGGACATGTCCTGGGGCGCTCACATTGCAGCACTGGTCAAAAGGGCCCAGCAGAGATTATACTACTTGAGACTTCTCAGAAAACAACAACTGAATGAAAAACTGCTGGTGACCTTCTACCGCTGCACCATAGAGAGTATCTTAACTTACTGCACCGGTGTATGGTTTGCCAGTTGCACAGTGGCAGATAGGAAAGCACTCCAGAGGGTTAACATCATTGCCCAGAGGATCATTGGTTGACCTCCCAAAGAGGAAGAGCTTTATAGCTCCTGCTGCCTTAAGAAAGTTCAAAACATTCTCAAAGATCCATCTCATCCTGGGCACCCTTTTTCTGAACTATTGCCATATGGCAGATAGCGCAGGATAATAAAACAAGGACAAATAGGCTGAAAAACAGCTTCTATCCCAGGGCAGTAAGTATTGAATTCTACTGCACAGTGCAATATTAATGCAATATCAAGGGGTTTTCAATTCAATGTATAGAATGTGAAGGATGTGTGTTTGGGTTTTATTTTCATAGTCATAATGTACACTGACGATGGTATTTAATTTCGTTGTATGAGGTGCAATGACAATAAACTAAACTAAACTATACTATAGTCAGAAATCTTGCCTGAGTAAAGCAAACGACTTGCATCATTAAAGGTATACAGGTAGTCCTTGGCCTACGACCAGAGTTGAGCTCAAAATTTCTGATGCTTAGCGAGACAGCTGTTAAGTGAGTTTTGCCCCATTTTACAACCGTTCTTTTGCCGTAGTTATTAAGTGAATCACTAATCGTTTAAGTTTGTAACCCGGTTGTTAAGGGAATCTGGCTACCCCCGTTGACTTCGCTTGTCGGAAGGTTGCACAAGGGGATTATGTAACCTCGGGGCACTGCAACCGTCATAAATACGAACTGGTTACCGTACAAGACCATTTCAGGTGCCAGAAAACATCCCAGAAATTGGTCTTTTCTGCGAGTATATACGGGAATCACTTTTTAAAAAAGTACCTGCATATAAAGAATAAGTTGACCCTAACATTTTTAACCAAAACAAATGCATGATTCATGGATAAGCCCATTGTGACATTTAAAGCATACAAGAATTTTCAAGAGTCAGCTTATCCGTAAGTGCAGGGGCCTTCAAACTTGACCGCTTTAAGACTGGTGGACTTCAACTCCCAGAATTCCTCTTCCAGTCATGTTAGCTCAGGAATTCTGGGAGTTGAAGTCCACCAGTCTTAAAGCTGCCAAGTTCGAAGACCCTTGCATAAGTGGCATGTTTTTTTCACAATATTTTGGTAAAAAAAACCTGAAGGGTCGGCTTATCCACGGATGGGGTTTATGCACCAGTCTGTACGGAATATCGATTCTGCAGGAAAAAAAAAAGGGAAGAATGCTTTCTGTGTGGTTTGCAGGACATTGGCAGAACTGAAATAACACACTATTTCTCAACCCCTTCTCTCCCCACCCCCTTTTGTTATCCAGGATCGGATTCTTACCCCGAAGGACGTCTTCCCCGCAAAGGGAACACGGTCTACGTCTCCGGGGCAAATATGAATGAGGCCATGTTGACCACGGCTTTCTCAGCCTTTGGGAAGATCATTGACCTCTCTTTAGACAGCGTCCGCAAGTGAGTGGTGGGAGGAACCTGGGCGGGATCTCCGAGGAACGTCCAAATGATAGACGTAGAAATTTGCATGGAAATGAAGAATCCTGCCAAACAATTCACCCGTCGGGGCTGTTAAGTTTGAGCGCCGAGCTTGTCAATTTGGTTGCAAACGTTTTGTCACCATTCGAGAAGACATCATCGGTGCGCTTTGAACTGTGCTCATTTGTCAGAGCACTGGCCTTGAAGTCCTTTTTTTATGTCTTGCAAATTAGTGTGGATATTGTTTGTTCGGCTACTTCTGAGTCATGGTCTGACTTCGGACTGTGCGATTGGCTGGCTGTTGTTACCGAGACCTGGTCTTTTGGTTTTAAGTACTGTCTGTGTGGTGTAAGTTAGTGTTGTTTGTTCGGCTGTTGCTTGAGTCCTAGTCTGGTTTCGGTCACGCAGACGGTACTTAAAACCAAAGTGTCAACGTTCCAAATAATGCCAGGGGTGGGATTCCAATTTTCTAACAACCGGTTCTGTGGGTGTGGCTAGGTGGGCATGGCCATGTGACTGGGTGGGCATGGCTTCTTTTTTTTTTGCAGCAACCCCCCCCCCTTTTTTTGGGCCTTCTGGGCCTCAGCGAAGTCTCCTGGGGGGGCGTTTTCACTCCCAGAAGGCAGCACCCCCCTGTGCTCCATTTTGGGGCCTTCTGGGCCTCAGGGAAGCCTCCTAGGGGGGTGTTTTTACTCCCAGAAGGCAGCACCCCCCCCCCCTGCGCTCCAATTTGGGGCCTTCTGGGCCTCAGGGAAGCCTCCTGGGTGAAGCAGTAAGTAAGTGAGGGGAATCCCGGCACAGCTGATCCTAGGAACAGCTGATCGTCGGGAAGGAGAAAAAAAACTGAAGGAGTGACTGGGTGGGGAATAACGCAGTCAGCGATGTTGGGCACACAATGTTGCACATGCGCAATAAGGACTGACTGGGCGGGGAGGGGCCAGCCAGGGGCACGATTTGCCAGTTCTCCGAACTGTGCAGAATCATAACAACCGGTTCTATAGAACCGGTCCAAACTGGTAAAATCCCATCCCTGAGTCATGCGCTCATTGAAAACAGAACTCCAAGGCAGGTAGATTCCTCAAAGAACAATTCATTGGATACATCATATTGGCCCAACTGGTGATAGTTCCTGTGGTTTTCACGTAACTAAAAAGTGAAAGTTCCTCTCTTCCCCCTCCCAGTCATCAGTCACATCGTCCAATCAAAGTGCTGGCTGGTTGCTCAGTTACTCTACTCCTCCGCCACCTGTTGAAATGTCCTTGGTTCCCACAGGAAGTTTTTTTTGTATTGAGTACAAAACCCCAGCTAACCATTTCCCCACCCTCCCTGTCTTGTGGCAACTGTGAAGCCATAAAGATGGCCTCAGCCAGGTTCGCTTCAGGGTTGACACAAAGACCATGCCTCAGTAACAACAGCCAGCCCATCAAACAGTCCGGAGTCTGACCATGACTCAGAAGTAGCCAAACAAACAACATCCACACTAATTTGCATCGCATAAAATGGTATTTAAAGGCCAGTGGTCTGACAGATGAGCACAATTCAAAGCGCACTGACAATGTCTCCTCGAATGGTGACGAAACGTTTGCAACCAAATTGCCAAGCTTGGAGCTCAGACCAACAGCCCAACTGTTATCCCAAGCTATTGATATTCAAATACATTTCAGTTCACCCATCTCTCCTTAATTAAATACAGGTAGTCCTCGACTTACGACAGCATCTGAACCCCCATATTTCCATCGTTAAGCAAGACAGCTGTTAAGTGAGTTTTGCCCCATATTATGACCTTTCCTGCCAGACACTCTAGAAATAGTACAGAGAAGAGCAACCAGGATGATTAGGGGACTGGAGGCTAAAACGTATGAAGAACGGTTGCAGGAACTGGGCATGGCTAGTCTAGTGAAGAGAAGGACCAGGGGAGACATGATAGCAGTCTTCCAATATTTGAGGGGCTGCCACAGGAAGAAAGGGGTCAAGCTATTTTCTAAAGCGCCTGTAGGCCAGACAAGGAATAATGGATGGAAACTGAACAAGGAGAGATTTAACCTGGAAATAAGGAGAAACTTTCTTACAGTGAGAACAATCAAGCAATGGAACAGCTTTGCCCTCGGAAATTGTGGGAGCGCCATCACTTGAGACCTTCATGAAGAGATTGGACTCCCATCTGTCAGAAATGGTGTAGGGTCTCCTGCTTGGGCAGGGGGTTGGACTAGATGACCTATAAGGTCCCTTCCAACTCTGATTATCTGTTATCTGTTAAGAGTTGTTAAATGAATCACTGCCATTGTTAAGTTAGTAACCCAGTTGTTAAGTGAATCTGGCTTCCTCATTGACTTTGCCTGTCGAAAGGTCGCAAAAGGGGATCACATGACCCCAGGACACTGCAACGATCAGCAATACATGTCAGTTGCCAAACATGCCAAAGTTTGATCACATGACCGTGGGGATGCCACAATGGTTGTAAGCATGAAAAGCTTACTAAACAGATGGCTGTAAGTCGAGGGCTACGTGTAAATAGCGACAGTCTTCAAGATGGCTACCTCATTTCCGTTACCTCAGAATATACGATGATGATACAGTTATCCAAAGGTTTAATCCCCTCGTGCTAGATTGTCCATTAAATCTCAACTCCTAAATTGAAGAACATGGCCTACTGAACTTTGATTTTACTGAATAAACTTACAGATCTGTTTGTCAGGATTGGGTAGATAATGAAGAAGGATCTGTATCCAAAATTGAGGAATTTTTTTTAGTATTGTTTTGCCAGTCATAGGAAGAGGATAGCAACATTTAAAAAAAAACAAATCTTGAAGGGAATTGATATTTCTTTTCATTCCTCTCCTCCCCTTCCCGCCAATATGTTGGCTGGAAAATTTTGGGAATTGAAGTCCACGCATCTTAAAAGCTGTATCTGAAAAATACTTGCAATGTGATATAATGCAAGTCATAGGTGTTAATTTCAGATTACATTTTTAGTCCACAAAATGTGATTGTTATTTTTTTAAACAGAAGGTGTGGGAATGATTAAACATATGCGTTAATCTTATTTGACATGCTGAAAAAAATGTGAATCCCCAGGTTTTTAAAGACCGGAATGTCAGGAAGGTATATGTACTGATGATCCAAGTCGGTTGTTGCTAGAAGCAACCATAATGGGGTCAAAAAATTCCTTTCCTTCTCCTTCCTTCTTCTTTTTCCACTAAGATCAGAGGGACAGATTTGTAACTTTGGCCCACGTTGGCCGTGGTTCCTTGTGCCACTGAGCACTCAGCCACATGGGACCTTTCCCATCCCACCCCCACTAACTGTTCTTTATTTTATTTCCCCCCACTCTCAGTTGTGCTTTTGTGACCTATGACAAGATTGAATCAGCAGATCAAGCTATTGCTCAGGTATTGGAGAAGGGGTTATCTTATGGGTAAGATGAGAGCCGGTATGGTCTAATAATGATTAAAGCACTAGGCTAGAAAGCAGGAGACCATGAGTTCAAGTCCCGCCTTAGCCGTGAAAGCCAGCTGGGTGACTTGGGCCGGTCACTGTCTTTCAGCCCAATTCACTCTCAAAAGCGGGGTGGTTGTGAGGAAAATAGGAGGAGGAAGGTTTGTTGGATATGTTCGCAGGCAAGCAGAGAGGGAGGGAGGAAGGAAGATGAAAGGGAAGGAGGGAGGGAGGAAGATGAGGGAAGGAGGAAGGGAGAAAGGAAGAAAGATGAGGGAAGGAGGAAGGGAGGAAGGAAGATGAAAAGAAAGGAGGGAGGGAGGGAGGAAGGAAAATGAAAGGGAGGGACGAAGGGAGGAAGGAAGATGAAAGGAAGGGAGGGAGGAAGATGAGGGAGGGAGGGTGGGAGGAAGGAAGGAAGGGAGATGGAAGGAAGGAAGATGAAAAGAAAGGAGGGAGGGAAGAAAATGAAAGGGAGGGAGGGAGGAAGATGAGGGAAGGAGGGTGGGAGGAAGGAAGGGAGATGGAAGGAAGGAGGAAGGAAGGAAGGAAGGAAGATGAATGGATGAACGAATGACGGCCTATGCTGGGAATGGTTGAGAAAACCTCCACTCCCGTGTCTCCCATTCTCTTTTAGTTTTTAGTCTTCATTTAATTTATCTTAACTTTAACAGTTTTTAGTCTTGATTTAATCTCCTTTAATTTTAATGGCTTTTATATTATATTTTTTATCACTTTGTAAGTCGGCCAGAGTCACTTCAACAGTGAGATGGGCGCTATACACATTTAATAAATAAATAAAAAATCAGGAGGAACAGTGCTGGAGCACCCGTTTCCCTCCATCATTTTCTGCTCTGCAAATATCTGTTTGGATGGCCGTATTATAGCTGGAACAGCCCCTCCCTATTCCCCTCTCCCTTCCATTCTCTTGCATCACGATAGGATGATGGATCTTGGCTTGGTTAAGTCTTACAGGCCATTCCCAGAGACAGGGAAGACTCTGGTTTTTCTCAAAGTTGGTCTGAGTTGATTGTGTGTCTTGTCTCCTCCCAGCTCAACGAGACCATGGTGGAAGATGTGAAGCTGATGGTTAGCATCGCTCGCAAGCAGCCCATGCTGAATGTGGCCGTCGGCAACTCCGTGTGGGGAACTTTGGGTGAGGAGATGGTCGTAGACAGAAGCGTGGGAGTATGGCCAACAAGTCCCCCAGGCCATTTTTACCTTAATGTTAAAAGCAGCCCAAATGATCCCAAAGGTGCTTTTTTTCAGGAGACAACTGGACTTTCTTGTTTTTCTTTTTCTTTTGAAGACGTTTCGCTTCTCATCCAAGAAGCTTCTTCAGCTCTGACTGGATGGTGGGGAATGGAAGGATTTATACTCCTTGCAGACAGCTGGTCATTTGCATTCTTTGTAGAGAGTCATTGAGGCCACTTGGAGGTTTATCTGTGTCTCCTCAGGGTCACCTGAGTGGTGCTCTTGGTTCCTGCAGTTTGCTATTTCCCTCTGGAAATCCATTCCTGCTCCCACACCATTCAAAGGGTGTCCATCCCAAATTGTATAGCTAAAAGCCTGTAGAGATTCTCAGTCATCCAGGTTATGGTTGACCCAAAGGTGCTTTTTTTCAGGAGGCAACAGGACTTCCTTGTTTTTTCTTTGAAGACCCTCCAAGACAGGGGTCTTCAAGCTTTAAGACTTAAGGACTTCAACTCCCAGAATTCCTCCTCCACTCATATTAGCTCGGGAATTCTGGGAGTTGAAGTCCACAAGTCTTCAACTTGCCAAGTTTGAAGACCCTTGCTCTAAAAGGGTACAAATGACCAGCTATCTGCAAGGATATAAATCCTCCTATTTCCCACTCTCCTGTCAGAGCCGAAGAAGCTTCCTGGATGAGAAGCAAAACGTCTTCAAAGAAAAAAAACAAGAAAATCCAATTGCCTCCTGAAAAAGCAGCTTTGGGACAACCATGACCTGGATGACTGAGAATCTCTACAGACTTCCAGCCCAAATAATCTTCTCTGCATCTAAGTGCCGTTTCACATTGTGCCTGCTTGTGTTTGAAAATCTTAAGATGGGAACAGACTAAATAAAGGTGCTTAGGTCTCTAGCATCACTAGGATTTGGCATCAGAGGTTCCCTCCCAAAATATTTCTGCATCCCAAATTGGGGTGAGGAGGAAGAGGAGGAGGGCCTTATGCCACAGGCTTTGCATGGTTTCTCCTTTTGGGAGGTAAAGCCAGAATTGGGATAAGCCAAAAGCTAGCTATCTTTTGCTCGGATCGCTGATGTGTTATCATTTCCTTTTTCCAGCTGTGATAAACACCATCAATGGTTCTCATCAAGACAAGCGATCCCAGGTTATCTACAAGGAAGAGAACTTCTGAAGCGCAGGAAGACCCGTTTTCCCCATCCGCTCTCTGCCTTTTCATTTAAATGATTCAAATAAATGATGGCTTTTAAAAAAAACAAAACAACGTTTTGAACCATGCTAATTCCAGTTTTAGGAGTGAGGCTTTGGAAAGCAGTGTGTCCTTTTCGGTGTCTTTTTAACCCAAGCTTGAACCTCAAGGCTTTCCCCCAACTTGGAAAACAGGCCGGTTCTATAACTACAGGGGTGGGTGAGTCTGAAAGAAAATGTAGATGAAGTGTAAACACTCAAGATTTTTCTAAATGTGGTTTAGCCACAGAAAATGGGGGGATTGTTTTCATCAGTTGTTTCCGCAGCTGAAATAAAGGAAGGTTTGAGGCAACCAGGCTAGAAAAAGCACCTCGTTTGAATAACAAAAAGCAATTTATTAGCTTCAACATTGGCCAAGCATCAAGCAGAGTTAACAATGGGGATTCTATGATGAGCATCTCCCTAGAAAAAGACCAGCTTTTATGGGATAAAATATTTTGTGAGTATTTTTTATATTTTTTTTGTACAAAAAGACAAAGAAAAAGACCAGCTTGTTTTGAATCCTAAATGTAAGTCACAAGAGGACTGCAAGGAGAGAAAGAAAAACTTCTGTGTGAAAACTAAACTCTCAACCAAATAAATGGGGGAAGTGGATGTAAAAAAAAATGAGGACATAGGTAGTCCTTGACTTAAAACCGTTCGTTTAGTGACCAAAGTTAACCACAGCAAAACTGGGGAAAAAAAAGTGACTTATGACCGTTTTCCACACTTTTATGACAATGGCAGCATCCTTATGGTTCTGTGATAAAAATTTGGATGCTTGACCAGTGGTTCGTATTTATTGACAAGTGGTTTGCATTTATGACGGTCGCAGTGTCTCGGGGTCACGCGATCCCCTTTTGCATCCTTCAGACAAGCAAAGTCAATAGGGGAAGCCAGATTCATTTAACAAGCGTGCTAGCAACTTAACGACAGCGGCGTTTCGGTTAAAACCACGGTGGCAAGAATGGTCCTAAAGTGGGGCAAAACTCGCTTGATAACGGTCTCGTTTAGCAACAGAAATTTTGGGCTCAATTACGGTCGTAAGTCAAGGACCACCTGTAATAGCTTCTGTCAAATGTTGCAAAATGCTAAGAGGAAGTAGGGGGAGAAATGTTAAAACACGGATGCAGTTTTGCTTGTGGGAGAGCTGTGGGACTGCATCGGGGCCTGACAATTGGAAGAATCCTGCTATTCTTGATACAAAGGTGTTATGTCCCACCTTCTAAAATAAACAGTTAAGGCTGAAAGCAGCAGTCCTTGTAAAGAAAGGCAACAAACAGGAATTTTCACAGATAGCTCCAATAAGTAAAAGTTCCAACGAACTAAATCCAAGACTCAACAAGATTCTTCAGATCAAAATCCTTCACAAAATAATTCCAATAAGTAGAAGTTCCAACGAATTAAATCCAAATCCCAACAAGATATTTCAGATCAAAATCCTCCAAACTGTGCTCTTCAGTTCTCCTTGCAAATAGACACTTTGTTCCGGACAAAGTGCAAAGTCATATCTCTCCCTTTATAGAGTAACTAATTAGTCTAATTGCTGGTCTGCTCTCCTACTGTATCCTCGTTGGTTCCTCCTTGTCAGGAGACGTCTTGTCCTGACATCTACCCAGCAATCATCCAAATTATCATCTTCTTCACCTGAAGATAACATTTGTTCCTCATTATCACCCGTTCCCGGCTGACCACCTAATTGAAGGGTGGAGGAGTTTGAAGGTTCAAGCCGATCTTGCAAATCAAATGCATTCATCTCCTCCTCATCGTTAGAACTTGCTGATTCATATAAGTCCTCCTCGCTGGAGCTGTCATTCAAAAAACCTGTAGCAGATGCCGGAATCACAACACAAAGGTAAAGGGCAGAATGGCTCTGAAGCACAGACAGAAAAGTCTCCACCAATGTACCGTAATAGATGAGAGGGCCTTGAGTTCAGGCCAAGGAAATAATGTGAGCAAACATCTAATCCCGTGATGGCGAACCTATGGTACTCGTGCCACAGGTGGCATGCAGAGCCATTTGTGCCAGCACATGAGCTGCAGGCAAACTTACCTCACTGCACATGTGCACACCTCACAGCTGATTTTTGGCTGGTTTGAGGCCTTTTTCAACCTCCCCAAGGCTTGAGGAAGACTTCTGCAGGCTACTACAAGCTTTGTAGGCCGAAAGATAGCCCCGTTTCGTCACTTCCAGTATTTTCAGAAAAATAGGAAGTGATCAAACAGGGCTCTATTTTGGCCTACAAAGCTTGTAGAAGACTGCAGAAGCCTTCCTTAAGCCTTTGGGAGGCCGAAAAAGGCCTCAAACCGGCCAAAAATCAGCTGTGAGGTGCAGTGCAAGACGGGGGGGGGGGGTGGGCGCACACACACAGGGGATGTGGGAGGACGCACGTTGCCTTCTGGGTGCTGGCACGTGAGGGGGAGTGTGCAAGCGCGCACACAATTTTTGGCACAGGAGCCCAAAAAGGTTAGCCACCGCTAATCTAAGCCAAGCCCCTCTCAACTTCTCACGGAGATAAAGGTGAGGAGCGAGGGAAGTACATTCAGACTTGTAAGATTTTTGTTTGTTTAATTGTTCCAATAAACGTTTCTTATCCTACAAGGTATCGGTTTTTTAGTTTGGTCTACACTGTTGGGCTGACAGTTGCTGAGAAGTCTTGAGAACCTTACAAATATTTATTTTAGTTTGTTGATAGATAATAGGGCACTGGTAAAGCAAATACATGAGTTATGGGAAGTTTCTGCAAACTCAGAAGAGACCGTGAGTTGAAGTCTAACCTTAGCCATGAAAGCCAGCTGGAGGACCTTGCGCCGGTCGTGCTCGCAGCCCAACCCACCTCACAGGTGGAAAATAGGAAGAAGATGCATTAAATATGTTTGCCACCTTGAGCTATTTGTAAAAAGGCAGGAGATAGATAGATAGATAGATAGATAGATAGATAGATAGATAGATAGATAGATAGATAGATAGATAGATAGATAGATAAACAGATGAAATGGATGGATAGATGGATGGTGGATAGATACTATAGATAATAGGGATGCATAATAGAGATGGATGGATAGATATTAGAGATGGATGAATGGATAATAGAGATAGGTGGATGGATAATATAGAGCCAAGGGTCTCCAACCTTAACAAGTTTAAGACTTATGGACTTCAACTCCCAGAATTCCTGAGCTAACATGACTGGAAGAGGAATTCTGGGAGTTGAAGTCCACAAGTCTTAAAGCTGTCAAGTTTGAAGACCCCTGAGATAGATAGATAATAGAGATAGATAATAGTGATAGATACATAGATACATATATATACATAGATGAGAGAGGTGAATGTTTTTGATTGCAGTAAGACCAGGATACATACAATAGAAACAAAGCATGTGTGTGAAGAAATTGAATGCTTAGCAAAACATTCAACACTGAATGGGAAGTAAGACAAGGATGTGTGATGCTCTTTGATTGTTTAATGTATGTATGGAAATATATATGAGAAATACTTGTGATTAGTAGAGTTGTGTTGTTTAGGAACTTGAACGCGCAATTATTTTTGAATGCTCAGGAAGAACATATTGGTTGAGAATTTCAATTATAAATAGTCCTTGCTTAATGACCGCCCATTCAATGAACATTCAAAGTGAACAGCACTGAATGAGTAGTCACAGGATCACGGTCTCCGACTTTCTCACAAGCAAAGTCAAAGGGGAAGCCAGCAGGAAGTCAAAAATCACAACCATATGAAGTCCTCACTGTAAGGTGGAAATGCTGGCATAAAGTGGCATGTTCCAGTCTGAGTTATGATTAAGTGAGGAATCTCTGTTTGCAGTGTACAGTAGACTCTATGATGCCATGATAATTATCAGTTTAAACATTTATGTATCAGAAGTCAAGGTTGCTTATGTGTTTCTTTATCATATTTATATTCCACCACAATTTAAAGATAGTTGGTGGCTTCTAGATGAGAGGGAAAAAAAACCTTCTACAGTACAATTTAGGTTAAAAAAAATTACTTCCTGAAATGATCCCCTCAGAAATCAACACAATCACACATACACGAAAGGCCGTAAAATTGTGGTTAGCCGGCAGCAATGAGGAAGACATTTCCGAGGAGCCTGTGCTAGGTGTGAGTGAGAGCAGGATGATTCATGGAAGAGCAGCACAGGCGATTCGGGAGTAAGAATGCTAATTAACGGCCCCTCCCTCCAGGGAATATAAGCCTGGTTTCAAACGTTTTTGCCTTTGCAAAAGGCAAAAATGTTTGAAGGACTCTGTGTGATTAAAGACTGGTTTATTTGAGGACTTCTGCCAAGGTTTTTCTTGTTGGACTAATTGGTTGCAAGCCATCTGTTATCTACAAAGAGGTTTATTTGTGGATTAAAGCTGTGAAAGTTTGACTTTCTGAGTTTATTTGTGTTTGCTCTCAAGGAATTTGGCTGGGACAGAACAAAAATATGTAAAATATGTGAAGTTCTGCTTGAGAAGGAAATGGAATACATAATGGCAAGTTATACACAGAAGGCAAAAAAACCTAGAGCAAGTATTTAGGCATTGGTAGAATATTAAAGGGAGATATCCATGAAGAAGCAAGTTTTGATAATTTGTGATCTGTTGCTGAAAAAGAATGTGGAAAAATTGAACACATCTATAGGCAAGCGCACGATATAAAAGTAAGAACTGTGAGAAATAAAAGAGAAGGATGCAGTGGAAACAGGATACTTGAATCTGTATTTTCACACAAGAACAAACCAGCAGAATGAAATGTCTACTGAAGGTAGAATGAGTGACTAGTATGAAAGAAAGATGTTAAAATGATTGGACAGAAAGAATGAGGATCAAATAACAAAACAAACATTTAAGACACTTATGCAGCCGCCCATCTTTCAACCAACTCTGGGCAATTCTCAAGCAAAAACAAAAAGGCATAAAATCACATTAAATTTATAACACTTAATCCCATGATTAAAACTTAAAAACAACATCAACAGACATGAAGCCAGGTGAAATTGATGAGATCTTCAAGAGGAAAAAGATAAGTTTGAAAATCGAAAAGTAATGTGTGAATCTACTGAGGGAAGGGATGATGGTCTGCAAATTACGAGAATATGGGAAATGCTGTTTGTAGAAGCTTCAACTGCATTTTGTCTTATTTCATACTATCCTTGGCTTACTAGTTCTTCCTTCCTTTCTGTGTGGTATGTAATGTTGCATTATCCCAAAAATACTAGTGTTACGGATCTGCTTACAGCATGTGCTGTTGTCTTCCAGTGTTTTGCAGCAGTAAATCTGGCAGCTCACAAACATTGAATGATTTTTTTTTAATGTTGTGTATGTCTCATGGGAAAAATAGACAATAAAGCTGCATTAGGATTGGAAGCCCTTCATTATTGGGAATGAATTGATGAAATAATTGATGCCTATCAAGGTAGGAATGTATGCTTGTAAGCCTCCATCACAATCAAGATTTTGATTCCTGTAATGCCATTTTAATGAACTATAGCAGAGGTCTCAAACTCAAAACCTGTGGGCCGGATCCAGCCGGTAGGGTGTTTAGATCCGGCCTGCAGGGCTGCCCTGGAAATAGTGAAGGACCGGCCCACGGTGTCTCTGCCAGCAAAAATGGACCTCGGGGGCGCCTTGTGCAGCTCCATTTTTGCTGGCAGAAGGCTGCAGGAGGCTGTCGCGGCCGAAAATGGAGCCTTGATGAGTGACCTTGACTGGCCACGCCCCCTGTCCACACTGCCCTCCAGCCACACACCCCTGGGCCTCCAAAGGTCAAACACAACCCTGATGTGGCCCTCAACGAAATCGAGTTTGATACCCCTGAAGCATAAATTAATACGGTTTTCATTTGTTGGTATTTCTGAAAAAAGAAGTATTTACTTGATTCAAGTTGTTGATGTGTGAAATAGGCAAATGGACCGTCCTTCTGTTCTCTTTATAGCATCAACCTCCACTCCCTCCAGAACTGGAAAGTCAAAAAGCCCCATTAAATACGCACAGATCTGCCGCTCCCTTACCTTATTGCCTTCCTCAATCATGCCATTCTGCAGGTAATCCTCATCTTACAACTGGTCGCCATCCATCCAGCTGAACTTGTCAACGGGAAATCCCAAAGGTGCTTTTTTCAAGAGGCAAATGGACTTTCTGGTTTTTCTTTGAAGACATTTGGCTTCTCATCCAAGAAGCTTCTTCAGTTCTTGGATGAGAAGCGAAACATCTTCAAAGGAAAACATCTTCAATTGTCACCTTTGGGACAACCATGACCTGGATGACTGAGAATCTCCATTGACTGTCAGCTGGAAAGTTGACAGCCCAGGTTTGAGACCTGAGTGCCACACACTAGGGTGAGCTCCTGTTCCTTGCTCCTGCTCGAAAGCATGCGAATGCGAGTAGATTCAAACTTCTGACAGACCTACCTGGGAGTTACTTATTATCCAAAGTTCCAATGGTAAGTTCAAAAATAGAGGGTGGTGGTGGTGCTGCGCACCCCTTCCAAGCTCCATTCTTTTTCCTTCCTGGGCTCCAAAAAACGCCCCCCCCCCCCGGAGGCTTTCCTGAGGCCCAGAAGGCCCCCAAAATGGGGGGGGGGGGTTGCTGCAAAAAAAGCCACGCCCACCCAGTCATATGGCCATACCCACCTAGCCATGCCCACAGAACCAGTAATAAAAAAAATCGAGTTGAGCTCCTGTTACTTGCTCCAGCTTCTGTCCACCTAGCAGTTCAAAAGCATGCAAATGCAAGTAAATTAATAAGTACCACTTTGGTGGGATGGTAACAGCATTCTGTGCACCTCAGCAGCCACATGACCATGGAAAGTGTCTTCAGACAACACTGTTTCCCCTCAGCTAGGAAATGACTGCTACCCCATAGAGTTGGAAATGATTGGACAGAGGAAACCTTTACCTTTAAAAGAAAGATGGTGGCTGTTTACCATGATGATGAGACATTCTGATAGTTGCTGTCCACATGCAACAAGATGGCACTAAGTTGGATTCCTTATGTTTCACCACTAAGGGTTGGAGCACACGTTATTTAATCAGGTTTCTGGCTTTAAAATGTCACACAATTAAGGCCAAAACAATTCGCCGGTGTGCACCTCCCTCCCTCCCTCCCTGCCTGGCATTGAATACACAATTGTAAATATTGCATTCTGTTTTAAGGATGGGGAAATGCTTGATCCATTTATTAAAAAGCAAAGAGAAAAGCAAATTTACAAGAACTCCACCTCTGTCCCCAATTGCTCCTTGAGCCAAGGTAGAATTTTGAAGATGTTGATGTGGAAATCTCTGGCATGCGGGGGGGACTTCTTTACGGGCTCCGAGTCGCACAATAATGACCTGTCGAATTCGCAAGTGTCAACCACGCTCCAGCTGATCACACCCAGCTACAGAAGGAGAGACAAGATGGAGAAAGAACCGTGGCTGTAAAGCTTGAGAGACTCCCGGTGCAGTGTGCTTTTCCAAACTTGGCAATGCCTTGGGGTGAATTCCTACTCCCAGAAATCTTGGGAGCACTGGTGAGGGAATTCTGGGAATTGAAGTCCACACGTTGAAGAGCTGGGGTGGCGCAGTGGTTAGAATGCAGTACTGCGGGCTACTTCTGCTGACTGCCAGTAGTTGGGCAGTTCGAATCTCACCAGACTTAAGGTTGTCTCAGCCTTCCATCCTTCCAAGGTGGGTAAAAGGAGGACCCAGATTGTTGGGGACCATATGCTGACTCTGTAAACTGCTTAGAGAGGGCTATAAAGCACTGTGAAGCGGTATATAAGTCTAAGTGCTGTAGCTCTTGCTTTCTTGAAGCTGCCAAGTTTGAAAAACACTGCTCCAGTGAGAAGAATAGCTAAGTAGGACCTATATAACATTTTGGTTCATCCACCAATATGGCTGCTCATTATTCTCTTGGGACCCAAAATAATAATGCTGTAGGACAGGGCTGTCAAACTCCCGGCTCACGGGCCAGATGCGTGACACACTGGCCCCGCCCAGTTTGGCAAAGGGGGGGAAAAGTCCCCATACGTCATGTGACGCCGCCATGACGACGTGAGTTTGACACCCTTGCCGTGGGATGTATCTTCCCCCTTATTGAATGCTTTGAGGAAACAAGCTTCCAGTTATATTAGAAGGTGGGAATATTGGTTTGTTTAGCTGAGAAGAAGAGGCTGGGTTTAGCTCAAGCCACCACTCACCTGAACGTAACGTAACCTTCTCTGAATGAGGAGAGGCCCACCGGAATCATCTGCAATCAAGAGAAGAAAGGAGCTTAGCGTAGGAGTTAGCTGGCTAGGCACAGCCAAGCTCTAACCCTGAACGGTGTACTAGAAGCCAGTTCCCCAAACATTTCAGGCACCACGAAAAAAAAGTTTCTCATTTTATGAAGTTTTGGTCACCACATTATAAAAAAGATGTTGAGACCTTAGAAAAAGTACAGAGAAGAGCAACCAGGATGATTAGGGGACTGGAGACTAAAACATATGAAGAACGGTTACAGGAACTGGGCATGGCTACTCTAGAGAAGAGAAGGACCAGGGGAGACATGATAGCAGTCTTCCAATATTTGAGGGGCTGCCACAGGGAGGAAGGGGTCAAGCTATTTTTTTAAAGCACCCGAAGGCCAGACAAGGAATAATGGATGGAAACAGAACAAGGAAAGATTCAACCTGGAAATAAGGAGAAACTTTCTGACCGTGAGAACAATCAACCAATGGAACAGCTTGCCCTCGGAAGTTGTGGGAGCGCCATCACTTGAGACTTTCAGGAAGGGACTGGACTGCCATTTGTGAGAAATGGCATATAGGGTTTCCTGCTTGGGCCGCGGGTTGGACTAGATGACCTACAAGGTCCCTTCCAACTCTGATTATCTGTTATGTGTTACCTTCTGCTTTGAAGTAATGAATGAGGAGGGATGGAATTGTTAATGTTCCTTCTCTGATTTTCCAACCCCCCCCCCTCCAACAACACAGCTCAAGGGAGTAGGAAGCGGGGTTTCAAAAACCTCTGTGAGGATTCCAGCATGTCATGTATCTATTACTCTGTTTTGTTCTTTCTGTGATCGCATTTATCCATCCCGTCAAGGCGCAAAAAAGTCAGGATTGGTATATCATCGCGTGATGGCGAACCTATGTCACGTATGCTGGAAGTGGCACGCAGAGCCATATAATGCCAGTATACGAGCTGTCGCCTCAGATCAGGTGCACTGCGCACTGCCAGCCCGCTGATTGTTAGGTATCTGCCGTGCATGCGCGGGGGGGGGGGGGGGGGGCAGGGGGGCATGCCCCGAGGCCCGGGGGGGCCTGGGGGGGGGCACACGCATGCGCAGGGGACGGGGGAGGTCACACACACACATTGCATTATGGGTGCAGGTACACACGCACACGCTTTGGGCACTCAAGCAGGAGACCCTAAGGGGATCTAACCCCGGGCCAGATCACTTGCTGCTTTGGAAGTTCCTATACTTCCTTGACCTAAAAGAGAAGGAATAAGATTTAGGGCCAATTCTCCTTACTTGAACAAACGTTGGGGTCCACTTGTGGGTCCGTGCCTCCTGTGCAAAGGAAGTGTTCGCTCACCATCTCTGAGATATTTGCAACCTTCTCGTATCGTTTTGCTTTCTCAGCATCCAGGTTGCAGGCCATTTTCTGAAGAGAGAAATGGAGATGTGGATTTAAACACCAGAAACATCCAGAAGGTCCTGAAGCTGTCAAACCCCGGCATCTTCAGAACCTGAGCTACGATGGTTGCCGGAAAACTCTGATAGTTGTAGTGGCAACGTATTTGTAATAGCAACAAAACAATTGCTACCAACCTGCCTTCAATCGAGGACCTGTATACTGCACAAGTCAAAAAGAGGGCTGTGAAAATATTTACAGACCCCTCACATCCTGGACATAAACTGTTTCAACTCCTTCCCTCAAAACGACGCTATAGAGCACTGCACACCAGAACAACTAGACACAAGAACAGTTTTTTTCCTGAACGCCATCACTCTGCTAAACAAATAATTCCCTCAGCACTGTCCAACTATTTACAAAGTCTGCATTACTATTACAATTAATCTTCTCACCACTCATCACCCATCCCCTCCCACTTGTGACTGTATGACTGTAACTTTGTCGCTTTATATTGACTGTTTCCTAGTATGATTTGATTGCTTATTGTACCCTATGACTATCATTAAGTGTTGTACCTTATGATTCTTGACTCTTGACGAATGTATCCAGGGGTGGGATTCTACTGGTTCTGTCCGGCTCTGTAGAACCGGTAGCTCTGAAGAGCAGCAGACACAGAACCAGTTCTGTGTCTGCTGCTGTTTTGGCCCACCCAGCCGCCTGGGCTCTTACCTGTCCTTTGCTTTTCCTGCTTTTTCAACCTCAGCTGCTTTGCGTGGCACAGCTGTGGTTGAAAAAGCAGGAAAATAGTGCTTTTTCAAATGTTGCACACCTGCGCGCAGCGCTGCTCAGCTGTCCGGGCAGCACAGCTCACAACGTTTCACATGCATGCGCAACAAATAGTAAATTACTGAACAGTTACACCGGTCGGATCCCACCCCGAATGTATCTTTTCTTTTATGTACACTGAGAGCATTTGCACCAAAGACAAATTCCTTGTGTGTCCAATCACACTTGGCCAATAAAAGAATTATATTCTATTCTATCTCGAGGGAGGGAGGCTGGGGAAGGATGGTCTGGAAATTACTCATGTTTATTCTTATACCTATTGTCTTGTAAGCGATTGACAAATCAAATAAATCAAATAAAGAAATAAATAAAATAGATTTGTTACTTATGGGACATTGATAGCAGGAAGTTGCAATGCACAGTAGGTAGTTCTTGACTTAGGACCATAATTGGGGATGGAAGGTCCTTTGGTAATGACATTCAGTCTGATTTTACAACCTATTTTGCCGTGGTCATTGAGCGAATCGTGTGGTTGTTAAGTGAATCTGGAATTCCTCATTGATTTTGATTGTTCGGAAAACCGCCGGGAGGGTCACAAACGATGATCACGTGACCCTGGCGTGCTGTAACCATCAGAAATACATGTCACCTGCCAAGTGCTCAAATTTTGATCACATGACCACAGGACTCTGTGATTGATGGCTTTAAGTGCGAGGATTGGTCCTAAGTTACATTTTTCACAGGGCGGACGTAACTTTGAATGGTTGTTAAATGAATGTTCGTAGGTCGAGGACTATCTGTTGTGGTTCGCTGGCAGCCTGTGCAGACAGCAGCGGAATCAGACAATGGGGAAGAAAGGGTATCAGTCCAAGAGTCTGGAGAGGACTTGGATGAGGGTCCTGTGTTCGATGCAGAGATGGGGCCAGGACCATCTGGGAGTGGGGTGCTGCCTTCAGAGCCTTTAGAGTCTGGCAGCAGCGAGGCAGAGGACCCAGGGGAGCCTGTTCCCAGTGCGCAGAGCTGCTAGAAGGGAAGAGCAGCTGAAACAAAAGGGGCAACTCGGGAGTAAGGCTGGGAGGTGATTGCCCCTCCCATAAGGGATAAAGGACAGGCAAAGATGATGAAATCTTTGCAGGAAGCAAAGTCATTCGTTCGGTTCACATTCATTCTTGAAGCTCTTCGTACTTTGGTTGGTTTTTGCTCTAGTTCATTTGACACGTCTGTTATTGGCAGCACTTCACAGTGAGATTCATTACCAGCTGGGAATGAAAATAATTCCCAGACAAATTATAAGTGAGGACTATGGAGATGAAGCACAAAAGAGTTGTAACCAACTGTATGTAACTGGAAGATGGTTTTAGGTTTTGTTTGTCTATGTTTAAAAATAAAAATTCTTAATAAAAAAAGAAAAGAAAATAATTCTCAGCATTGCAATAAAACAAGACTTGTTTTTAAACTAAGTGGGTGCATAATTACGGTCTCGGAAGCCTTGGTCAGAACATTACCTATATATAATAGCAAACCCATGACTGTTGCTGAACTGCTAATGAAGTAAGTTGCCTTTACTCAAAGTTAGCACCTTTTCTCCATTCTTGATCCACACATTTCTCTGGAGCAATCCAGATTTCTGGCCACTGCTGTATTCACAGGGGGTGATGAAAAGAGAATGAATATTTCCATCATACAGGAGTTCTTCCTCTAGGAAAAAAAGAAGAAGAAACAAAACACGTAAAGTGAGTATTAGTGGAGTGTTAATCTATAAGGAAGGGATGGAGGAGAAGAACTAGGTTTTCAATAGACAAATGTAGGATCCAATGTACAAATACGGAATGCCAGCAACCTGGAATTAAGGAGAAATTTCCTAACGGTGAGAACCAATTAACCAGTGTGGAACAGGTTGCCTACAGAAAGTGGGGCTCTCCACCAGTGGAGGTTTTTAAGAAGTGACTGGACAACCACTTGCCTGAAATGGTATGGGGTCTCCTGATTGAGCAGGTGGGGGGGGTTGGACTAGAAGACCTCCAAGACCCCTTTCAACTCTTGTTATTTTGTTATTCTGTGAAATATGGTACAAGTCCAGTGGTGGGATTCAAATTGTTTTACCACTGGTTTGATGGGTCAGCTGATCATGGGAGGCTTTTTTTTACTACCGGTTTGGCTAAACCGGGCCAAACCGGTAGCATACCACCACTGTACAAGTCCAATATAGATGCATTTGTGTTGGCATTTCAGTGTTTCTCAACCGTGGCAACTTTCAGATGTGTGGACTTCAACTCCCAGAATGTCTCAGTCAGTAAGGCTGGCTGAGGAATTCTGGGAGTTGAAGTCCGTACATCTGAAAGTTGCCACGGGTTGAGAAACACTATATTAAACCTTTACCCTGCTCCTCCCGTGTTCCCAAGATGTTACCTACTCAATACATCTGGAAAAAAAAGACCAATGAGGAGTAGCAAAAAGAACAGGAGTGTCACCCCAAATCTAGGTGCGTAGTTCCAGAGACAGTAAAGTTAATTTAATGCACCTCGATGTAGCAAACTTTGGATTTAACAGACATACTGTCAGCTTTGGAAGCCATATTAACACCAGAAACTTCCACACTACCGCATTCCTGTGCCTGGGAAATTAGCAGGGGGGATTTTTTTTTAGAGTGTTAGTAGTTAGCAGTGGTGGGATTCAATTTTTTTTTACTACCGGCTCTGTGGGCATGGCTTGGTGGGCATGGCTTGATGGGTGTGTCAGGGAAGGGTACTGTAAAATCCCCATTCCCTCCCCACCCCACCCCACTAACCTGCTTTCCAGCTCCGTTCTCCTGTGCAGGGGAACAAGAGAAGACCCAGCTAATCAGCTGGGACTCAGGAGGCAGAGAATAGATGGGGTTGGCGGGGCCAGTCAGGGGTGGGATTTGCCGGTTATCCAAACTACTCAAAATTTCTGCTACTGGTTCTCCAGAACTGGTCAGAACCTGCTTGAATGCTACCTCTGGTAGTTAGACATAATACGGTAGCATTCTTTTTTTCCGGTCAAGGTCATGTTATTCCTGCACCTGGAGGAGGAGTGGTTGAAGGGGTGTCTCAAGTTGGGACAGATGGTGAGTGGACCATGTGATGGACTGATGGGTGCAGGGGTTGGGTTTTGATGTTTGATTTACTGAGGGAAAACCCAGAACACTCAGGTTCAGGTTTTCCCAGATGTGCCGGTACGACTTTTCCAATAAAAAGAAACGTTGAGAAAATGCCTGTCTCGCAATTAGTGATTGGAATCTGGTTTTGCTGGAATGCTGACACATACTAGGGCACACAGTGGACATCTCGGGTGGCTGGAGGAAGTCAAAGGAGAGAAGGTACTGGGAAAATGGCAGCGAGGGGGAGGGCTGATGGGATATACTGCATTGGATTGATGGCAGGGATGAGAGTTGTAAGAAGGAGGAAAAGAAAGAGCTGAGTTTTTTTGAGGGGAAGCAGAAGCTATTGAGGAGACAAAGGATAATGCCCACCAGCCTTGCTCTTTTCGTTTTTGTTGTTATTAAACACTCAATTTAAAAGACACCCGGTTTTAATGGACACCCTTTTCCTTCTACTAATCCATTAAATCAAGACTTCGTTGAATTCATAACTAGGGATGCTAATGGAGAGCCAGTTTGGTTTAACACCAGGCTAGAAACCAGGAGACCATGAATTCTAGTCCTTCAGGCAACAGGCATGAAATTTGGCTGGGTGACTTTGGGCCAATCGCCAGGAGATGGTGAGTTCTAGTTCTGCCTTAGGCACAAAAGACATCTGGGTGACTTTAGGGCCAGGCCCTCCCTCTCAGTCCTGTTCTGTCTTAGGCTTCCCTAAAAAAGCACTAAGCAAACTCTGTGTGCCGGCAAAACCTCTTTTATTAAATGAATGTGAATTTATTTCATTCACATTCAGCCAACAGCCTGGCAAACAGTCTTGCAAAGGCGTGATTATTAGCTCAGACCTTATCTATCTTGGAAAGCTGCCCGGTAAATATTTCCACATGCAGCGCTGACAGGGAAAGGCTGGGCGACATAGTCTCTAGGTTAGACAGACAAATCTTCACAAGGCTGGAACGAACGAACAAACGAACAAATTGTTTCCTGCGAAAGCCCCCTCCCTTTTGCTCCTCTTTTAATCCTTATGGGAGGGGGCCATTCATCATCCACCTGCGGCCTTATTCCCACGTCAACCCTGAGTTCTTCCTTTTGGCAGCTCTGCACATGTGCAGGCTGGGAACCGGTTCCAGAAGCTCCCCTGCCTCGCTGCTGTCCGAGCCCGAAGGCAGCTGATGACTGCTAGCCTGCCCTGGCCCCATCTCTGCCTCTGATGCAGAGCCCTCATCCGAGCCTTCCTCAGCCTCCAGGACTGGCCCGGGTTCCTCCCCAACCTCCTCACTGTCCGACTCTGCTGCCAGCTCCGCCAGCCGCCGGCGGGCCACAACAAGTCCATGATTTTTAGATTCAGGCAACAAACTGATTGGTCAATTCCTGTCACAACCAATGTTGCAACTAAATGTTTGATCCTTCCGCCATCAAAAAGGCAGAGCCTCATGGGAAAAACACAAGGAAGGTATTGGGGGGGGGGGGGGGGGGGGGAGGAAGGTAGGAATGCTAAAAATGTTTGTTGTGCCTACTGAGAATTGAACACTTAGGTTTCTCTTACCGTGATCCTTGCATGTGGTCTGTGGATGTGGCTTTCTGAGAATCCGAGTGGTTTCTATTGTGCACGGTAAACAGACTGGTCTATAGGAAAGGGGTTATCAGAAAGGACAGTGATCATTACAATATCTCCCATGATGGGGTCCGCATCATACAATTAGGGATATGCACAAAACAGTAAAGGCTTCTTTTGCTTCCGGTTGGAACAACTAAGAAGACATTTCCTGACAGAACAAATAATTGTAAATGATTTGCCTCCAGAAGTTGTAGGTGCTTCAACACTGGAGGTTTTTAAGAAGAGATTGGACAACCATTTGCCTGAAATGGTATAGAGCCGTGATGGTGAACAGAGCATGCAGAGCCATTTGTGCCAGCAGGCAAGCTGCTGGCAAACTTATCTCACTGCGCTTGTGCACGCCTCACAGCTCATTTTCAGCCATTTTGAGGCCTTTTTTTGGCCTCCCAGAGGCTTCAGGAAGGGTTCTGAGGCCGAAGACTAGGTCCGTTTCATCACTTCCTGTTTTTCCGGAAATACCAGAAGTGACGAAACAGGCCTAGTTTTCAGCCTGCAAAGCCTGCAGAAGCCTGCAGAAGCCTTCCTCAAGCCTCTGGGAGGCTGAAAAAGGCCTCAAAATGCCCAAAAATCAGCTGCGAGGCGCAGTGCAGGTAAGGGGTGGCGGGGGGGGGGGTGGGGGGGGTATTGCGCATGCATGCGTGGGGGGGCACGCATTGCCTTCTGGGTGCTGGCACGCATTGCCTTCTGGGTGCTGGCACGTGAGCGCACAATTTTTGGCACAGGAGCCCCAAAAGGTTATTCACCACTGGTATAGAGTTTCCTGCCTGAGCAGGGGGTTGGACTAGCAGTCCAACCAAGTCCCTTTCAACTCTGTTGTTCTGTTATTCCTACTTGGAGGATTCTTTCAGAGCATTTAATCAATAGGTTGTGAGATGCTCCAGACCTGAAGATGGTAAAGTCCCATATATCTAAAAGACTCCAAAATCCAGAGCCACTCAGTCTTGCCTGAGCGGTTCTGGATTTTGGAGCCTTTTGGATATGGGACTTTACCATCTTTGGTTCATTTGAAGCCTATTGTTTCCCATTCAGCCTCCCACAGCCTCCAGGCAACAAGACAAGACAGCAACAGCTTTGTTTAGTTTGCTAAATGCAGAGATGTATCATTGGGTGCCATCAGCCTAATGCTGAATCTTCATCTCATGGCAATAGATGATCTTATTTAGTAACTTCATGTAGATGTTGTTAGGGGTAACATTGTTTACCCTAACTGGTTTGGGTAAAAATAATAAATAAGGTATCATGGTTTGTTAGTTAAAGTGTGTGTAACTTTAACAGCAAGAATGTAATTAAGGGTGTGGTTGTAAAAGCACTATATATGAAGCGAGGCAAATGCATCTCTCTCTCTCTCTGGCCTACTGATCTCTAATTACTGAATGGATTGATGACTGCGTTCTTGCTGAAACGGGGAGAGAACAAGGAGTGTTGATATTTCTCAACGGAGAGAAGATAAGATTGGACTGATTTATTGTAAGTGAACTGACATTGGCTATTCAACACGGACTTTGCAAATAGAGTATCCCCGACAAGACTTGACTGAAAATTGATATATGACTAATGGACCGTTTATTTGACTATGCTATAATTCTTAAATGGAATAAACTATATTTTTGATAGCACAAGCGTATCTGTATTTTTACTGCGTGTTAACTAGAAAACTTATCTCACACATTTACCTGTCTTCCTATCTGACTTCGCTGCACGTTCTGTTTAGTTTGTTTTCCTTAACACCCGTTGGGGAATCCAGGCATAACAGATGTTAAATATTAGTCAAGAAAGTATTAATCAAATTAATTAAATAAATTCCTTGTGTGTCCAATCACGCCTGGCCAATAAAGAATTCTATTCTATTCTATTCTATTCTATTATTCTATTCTATTCTATTCCTATTCCATTCCATTCTATTTTCTATTCTATTCTCTATTCTATTCTATATTATTTTCTATTCTACTCTATACTATTTTCTATACTATTTTCTATTCTACTCTATTATTTTTTCTATTCTATTCTATTCTATTCTATTCTATACAATTTTCTATACTATTTTCTATTCTATTTTATTATTTTTTCTATTCTATTCTATATTCTATTCTATTCTATTCTATACTTTCTATACTATTTTCTATTCTATTCTATTATTTTTTCTATTCTATTCTCTATTCTATTTTTATTCAATTCTATACTATATTCTATACTGTTTTCTATTCTATTCTATTCTATTCTATTCTATTCTATTCTATTCTATTCTATACTGTTTTCTATACTATTTTCTATTCTACTCTATTGTTTTTTCTATTCTATTCTATTCTATATTCTATTCTATACTATTTTCTATACTATTTTCTATACTATTTTCTATACTATTTTCTATTCTATTCTATTATTTTTTCTATTCTATTCTATTCTATTCTATTCTATTCTATTCTATTCTATTCTATTCTATTCTATTCTATTCTATTCTAGTTTCTATTCTAGTTTCTATTCTATTCTATACTTTCTATACTATTTTCTATTCTATTCTATTATTTTTTCTATTCTATTCTCTATTCTATTTTTATTCTATTCTATACTATTTTATATACTGTTTTCTATTCTATTCTAGTTTCTATTCTATTCTATTCTATACTGTTTTCTATACTATTTTCTATTCTATTCTATTATTTTTTCTATTCTATTGTATTTTATTGTATTCTACTCTGCTCTGCTCTGCTCTGCTCTACTCTACTCTACTCTACTCTACTCTACTCTACTCTACTCTATTAACCCTGCAGCAGCACCCCACATAGAGGGGCCACCAGGATACCGATCACTCCCAAGCAACACTGATAGTACTGGCCCTGCAAGAAGGAAGGAAACTGGGCCAATTCTGTGCCACCCACTCCCAACGCATAGAATGGAAACCAGGCCAGTTCTGTGCCACCCACTCCCAACGCAAAGCACTATATTGTACTTCTGTGTCAGAAGCACTACCATGGTGAAAGGATCAACTGGTGACCTCAATGTTGCCCATATCTCCAGTAGCTCCTTTCGTGTCCCTGAAGTATACTCATCTATCGACTCATGATTGCCTGCTTTCAAACTGTTGGGTTAGAAAGAGCTGGAGCAAGTGACCGGAGCTTAGGCCACCACGGGGTCTCAAACATGAGTCTGCTGATCGTCAGCCCTGCATCCTAAACATGTAAACCACTGCACTCCCCACCCACAGAATTGATCCAGATGAATAATCTGGTTGATGCTATTGAACACTTAATACCCAGAAGTTGAAGACAGCTTCAAGGACAGATACACTACCTCTAGTATAGACCATACTAAGTGATGTCTACCACCCAACCTCCAGAAATATTGGCCAAGTGTAGTATTTTTAATTAAAACCATGAAATTCTCATAACCAATTGGCAGCAAATGAAAAGAATGCATGCTTGCTTTGAGACGTTGATGGCAAAGTGATAGAAACTATGTGAAATCAACTGCTTTATTTTGTTCAAATTCAGACCAAAACTCTATAGCTTAGAATGTTTTGTTCCAGAACATTTTGAACATGTTAGAACCAGAATGTCTTGCACACTCGTCTCCCATTGTTTTCCAAGTACATCGTTCCTGGAATCATATTATTTCTAGAGTATTAACCATATTCTCACCCTTTTTACTCCATACCTTTTGCCTTAGGGAACAGAGATACACTGTTTTTCAGCCCCCCTACAGTTTTTTAATTAGCAAATCAAAGAGACATCATCTGATGTTGTTGTTGTTGGTCGTTTAATGACCCCGTAATCACTTGTGGGGTGGAGTCAGGGCAACTGAATGGAGCTGAGTGTTTACTGGCCGGATGCCCTTCCTGTCGCCAACACAGAGTTATATTCAGCAGATCTATTCTCATTGTGCTCAAAGAGAGAAATATCTGCCTCTACCTAGGATCGAACTCACAGCCTCCTGATTGTGAGGCAAGAGCTCCACCTCTAGGCCAACCGTGCCACTCAAGAGACATCATTTGATAACGGACCTAACCTTTACAGCATTCTCCGACCTTCAATCTCCTTTCAGCTCACCTTGCAAAAGATGGAAGCTGCTTTTCTTTGAGTTTGACCAGAGCAACATCATAATCGTAGAACTCCGGGGTGCGCTTATTTTTTACTTTCTGACTATTGTATTCTGGGTGGCGTCGGATTTCAGCCACTGCAAAGTTGGTGGTTCCTAAAGAAGAGAGAGAGAGAGAGAAAATGTGAACTTCCTGAAAACCTTCGCAGATGATGGAGGCCATTATAATAATGGAACCACAGAAATGTTAAATATAATAATGGAACCACAGAAATGTTAAATTAGCGGTCCCCAATCTTTCTGGCTCTACAAACCAGCAACACCATTGACAGTGGAGGGTGTATTTTTCTCTAAATCTATTAATCTATTAATCTATTAGTTAATTTTTTTAAAACTAGGAACAAACTGAAAGCAAATGGTTTCAAGCAAGCTATGAGGGAAACTGCACGAGTACCTCAACTTCAAACACAGTATACAGCCCAACCCAGTGGTGGGATTCAGCCGGTTTGCACCGGTTCAACCGAACCGGTAGCAAGGATTTGGCATGGGTTGCCGAACCGGTAGTACCTTCTGGCTGGCCACGCCCCCGATCTGGTCGCCTGGTCGCCGCTCGCTCACTTGCCCCACCTACCGATGCTCACTCACCCTGTTCCGCCCGCCTGGCGCTCGCCCACCCAGTCGCTCCTTAAGGTATTTTTTTCCCCTTCCCGACAATCAGCTGTTCCTAAGATCATTTGTGCCAGGATTCCCCTCGCTTACTTACTGCTTTGCCCAGGAGGCTTCCCTGAGGTCCAGGAAGGCAAAAAATGGAGCCCCCCTCTCCTATGATTCATTTTCTGCCTTTCTGAGCCCAAGGGAAGCCTTTGGGAGCAAAAAACACCCTTCCCCTGGAGGCTTCCCTGAGGCTCAGACCACTCCAAAACAGAGCACAGGGGAGTGGTGCATGCTCCCCCACCTGTTGTGACTCGGAGGTTTGAGCCTGCTCTGTTAGAGGACGAAGACTTGGACAATGAGGAAGAGGAGGATTTGGCTCTGAGGTTTGAGCCTGCTTTGTTAGAGGATTTGGAGTTGTCTTCCTCCCCAGGACTTTCCTCTTCGGCAAGACCTTCCTCCCTGGTTGTGCCTCAGGTGTCGGCAGATAACCAGGAGGGCGTATCAGAGCCTCTGACTAAGGAATGTTGGTTTGATGCGAGGCAAAGACGCAGGCAAAAGCGTGAGATGCAACGCAGAAAGAAAGGACAAATCAGAGAATGAGATGAGGGACTGACACGCCCCACAGGGAATAAAAGTGGGTGTGTTAGCTCTGGGTTCTTGTTCGGGACAACGTGTTATTTAGTGAGAGAAGCTTCAGAATTACCCTGTGTGTGGCAACAGCTTGTGATTTATGTTCCTGCTTCCTTATCGGACTTGGCAGACAGCTTGCGTGAGACTGCCAAGAATGTTGTCGGCTTAAGGAATTTAACCCTGTAATTACCGGACTTGCCTGCTTATTTGTGTTTCAGTTGGAAATTTGGACTTATTACTTTGTTTGTACAGGTGAGACATAACACCCACCTATGCTCCATTTTCTGCCTTCCTGAACCCCAGGGAAGTCTTTTGGTAGCAAAAAGCCCCCCACCCCCGTCAGGAGGCTTCTTTGAGGCCCAGAAGGCCCAAAATATGGGGAGGGTGCTGCTGCAAAAAGCAAAACAAAAAACCATGCCCACCAAGTTACATGGCCATGCCCCTGGCCACGCCCCCTAGCCATGCCCACAGAACCAGTAGTAAAAAAAAAATATGAATCCCACCACTGGCCCAACCCCCTTGTAGCTAGGCAACCGCATACCAGAGCTAACGGACTTGGCCTGGGAGATAACAGAAGTTGCAAAGCTGCAATGTAATCTTTCCCTTAATTCCCTCCCCCCATTCTATGGTAGCAAAAGCAACAGGCTGGCTGACAGGATGGTTTTGCGTCCATGGACGCTGCTTGTACAAGTGCAGATTTGCACGCTCATGTGCTTAATCGCTGATTGTACGGCCCGGTTCCCAATGGGCCACGGGCCCGGTACAGGGCTGCAGACTGAGGGTTGTGGACCCCTGGTGTTATACCATCACAACCTACTGTTAATGGCCGAAGAACAAAGCACTCGAATCTTTTTGCACCAGTTAGAAATCCACCCGTTCTTTCCATCTCCATGCCCTCACGAGAATTTGGCTTACCAAGGATGACGCTGATATCTTCAATCCCATTAACCCCAGCCAAGCAGTGGGCTGCTGTCAAGATGTCCTGGTCAGAGACAATGACTCCCTTGCAGATTTCTTGCCGCAGTTCCTAAAATTTAGACATGAAAATCATCTTGGGATCACGGAGAGCAGCAGCAGTCTTACCTCAAAACAATGCTTCTCCACTTCAACAACTTGAAGATATGTGGACTTCAACTCCCAGAATTCCCCAGCCCAGACACGTTGGCTGGGGAATTCTGGGAGTTGAAGTCAACTCATCTTCAAGTTGCCACATTTGAGAAACACAGAGTTGGACCTTAGAACCAACCTCACACTCACAGAAAGCAACAAAGACAGTTAAGGAAAGCAAACCAGATCCCATAAAATGACATTTTTACTAAAGGGCTCCTTCTTAGACATGACACAATATTATTTTGCCTTGGTGAAGCATTAACGAAGTGAATTCTGCCAGACATTTTGTTGCTATACAGTTATGCGCAAAATTCTGCACATAAAATACAGTTTAAGGGGTCCTTGACGCTCTCTGAGCTTGGTTGTTTTTGTAATGACCCGGGATGTGGCACAAAGGCAACACAGTCAAATAAGCAAGAAGAGTCCCTTTATTATCTCCAGCTTTGCCCCCAATATCCAGGTTACTTTCAGCTGGAGAAAAACTCTCCCAGGAACAGCCTTTAACTGGAGGAAATTCAATCCAAAACAAGATACATACAAACTGTAACTAAAAATCCAAACAAATCAAGCTGCAGCAATTAACTTGACAGGGCAGGAGAAGGAATTTCAGACTTGAAAGCATGGCAAAACTCAGACAGTTGGGAAGACACCACAAACACAGATAAGCCGCTACAATACAAGATAAATTCATGCTTGCTCCCCACAGCTTGCTGCGCGCAGCTTCCTTTTTTAAACACTGTGTTCCCAGCTGCAGCTAATGAAGGGAATCAGGGCCCTTTCCTCCCCCATAAGCCACGCAACTCATGTTGCTCCCTTCTCCGTTCCTCCCTGCATGCCCTAGGGTGAAGAGGGGGTGGGCCTGGGTCTTCCTCTGAATTCCCTCTCCCTTGCTCTACCTCTCCCCTGCTCTGCCCAGCCGGATTTTGCCCTACCCCAATTTCTTCCACAGCCAATGGAGTCACACTCCCACTCCCTGTCAGCTGTTCGGCTTCCCCCTTTGAATCAGATTCCGACAGGGGCATGATAGTCTCCTTGCAGAAGTTTCATTATCCTAACTAGGTAATGTCATCAATGCTAGTGATGATGTTATCTGGTTAAAATAATGAGACATCTGCAAGAAAATAAGCAAGCTCAGAGAGCACCAAGGACCCCTTATTTGAACCCCGAGCTACAAATAGTCTACTTTATTGGAAGTTTGGAATATTTCATTTTGGGTATCCATCCCAAAAGTGAAATGGTCTAGGAAACTTGTCTCATTCCATGGTTGGAAGACAGATTTCTCTTTTGATATTTTCTCTGGTCACATTTTATGGTTATCTTTACTGGATTGGCTGGATTTTGGTTAAAAATGCTTTTCGTGCTGGTCGTATGGCCTGAATATAATTATCTATCGATCCTGGGTGCTAGTTGGTCTTACATTGATGACGATCCTTGCAAACCAGGGATACTTTTCATAGTCATTTACTGCTTCTTCTCCCGGGGAGAAACCACACATGGGCAAAGATTCACCATCATCTGGGAATAGAAAGACAGGAATAGGAAGGTAGAACTTCCTAGAAAAAAAAAGCCGGAGGGAATGAGCAGGTTGGAAGGGAGACAGAGAGGTGGAACTTCTGGATTCCTAGGGAGGACAGTAGAGCAAGTTGGAAACAAGTGACACCCTTAGACTGGGAGGGGAAAAAAAAAAAGATGGAAACAGACTAAAGTGAATGGACAGTTCTTATACGGAGTTCCTCAACATTTATTCCTCAACCACTAGCAGAGAAAGTTTTTTAAGTGAGTTTGGCAACTTGGTACTCCTAAATTGATGTCCACAGATTCACCAAACTTCAAGAGGGTGCCTATCGAGCTCAGCAAATATACGTTCACAATGAAAAAGTATAAGAGTTTCCCAAAGGTGCTTTTTTTTTCAAGAGGCAACTGGGCTTTCTTTCTTTCTTTTTTCTTTGAAGACGTTTCGCTTCTTATCCAAGAAGCTTCTTCAGCTCTGACTGGATGGTGGGGAATGGAAGGCTTTACGGTCTTTGCAGATAACTGGTCATTTGCATTCTTTTAGAGCAGTGATGGCTAACCTTTTCAGCTTGGTGTGTCGAAAATCGGGAAAAAGTGTAGCCTTCCTCGGGTCGTGTGTCACTTCAAGAAATAGCAATAATTTGGTTTATGACGGACTGGGCTGGGGTGATCACACAGGGCTGTGAAACTCGTCTCCCTGGTCTCAGGGCTGCAGGTGCAGGATGTGGGGATCGGAAGGCCACCTTACAGGGCTGTGAACCTCATGGATCTCCTTTCCTCCTGTAGCGTTCCTGAGGTAATGAAACTGACAAACCTCAGTTTATGGCGGTTAAAACTGGTTCTCTGCTGCAAAGATCTTGAGGCAGCGGTGACTCCACGCAACAAGCAGGGAGCAGGGATTGGAGCAGAGCACAGGCAGCCTCTAAATGTGCAGGTTTTCCCCACACCAACAGGCGTGTCAGTCAAAGTGCCTCGGCGTGTCACGAGTGACACGCGTGTCATAGGTTAGCCATCACTGTTTTAGAGGGTTGTTGAGGCCACTTGGAGGTTTATCTGTGTCCTCAGGGTCACCTGAGTAGTGAAAATGGGTACGGAGCCATCTGGGAACTATTGAAAAGACCGTGTTGTAGATTGGAGATAGATGACTACTCAGGTGACCCTGAGGACACAGATAAACCTCCAAGTGGACTCAACAACGCTCTAAAAAGAGGCAAACGACCAGCTGTCTGCTAGGAATATAAATCCTTCCATTCCCCACTATCCTTCAGAGTTGAAGAAGCTTCCTGGCTCAGAAACAGAACATCTTCATAGAAAAAAACAAGAAAGTCCAGTTGCCTCTTGGAAAGAAGCACCTTTGGGACAACCATGACCTGGATGACCGAGAATCTCTATAGATATATAAGATTCTTTTCATAAAGGTAACAGTGTTCTTCTGAGATTTCGGCTGGAAATGCAAGAGATTTAATAATAACTGAGCCATCGTCAATGATTATTATTAGATCTAGGAGGCCATGCAAAGTCGTAAGAGCATACCCTCATACTGGAAAGTTTGTGGATTCCAGATTCCTAGCCCTTTCTCCGCTGAAATCTTTCCAATATTTTTGGTTAGTTTGTTTTGCTTTAAAGCCACATCACCCATTGTCATCCTGGTGTGGATGGTATAACCGGAGAAATGCTTTTATTGTTATTTTTATTTACTTATTACATTCATATGCTGACCATCTTGCTATCCGGAGTGCTTCTGGATGGCTAACAGTGCAATAAAAACAGAAGAATAAAACAATGATAAGTATAGGAACAATTAAGATGATCAGAATTAAATGGATCGAGAAAATTGAAGGGCTCCCACAGGGCAGGGATGATGCCTTCTCTTGTTAAAATACATGAAAGGCATACATACAATCCTTGAGCAATTACTTATTTGTTTAGTGACCCTTTGAAGTTAAAATAACACTGAAAAAAGTGACCTATGACCGTTTTCACATGACCGTTACAGCATACCCATGGTCACGTGGCCAAAATTCGAATACTTGGCAACTGGTTCATATTTATGACAGCCATAAATCACTTTTTCCAGTGCGGAACAGTCACTAAACAAAAGAATGTAAGTTAAGGACTGCCTATTGGCATAGTGGTTAGACTGCAGTATTGCAGATTAATTCTGCCGACTGATGACTGCCAGCAGTTCAGCAATTCGATTCCCATCAGCTCAAGATTGACTTCCATCCTTTTGAAGCCAGTAAAATGAGGGCCCAGATGGTTGGAGGCAATGTGATCACTCTGTAAACCCCTTAGAGAGGGCTATAATACACTGTGAAGTGATATATAAATCTAAGTGCTATTGCTATTAAGAACCGTTGTAACGTGGTGGTTAGAATGCAGTATTGAAGGCTAATTCCGCCAAGTGCCAGCAGTTCGATTCTGACCGGCTCAAGATTGACTCAACCTTTCATCCTTCCAAGGCGTGTAAAAGGAGGATCCAGATTGTTGAGGGAGCAATAGGTTGACTCCGTAGAACTGCTTAGAAAGGGCTGTTACACACTGTGAAGTGGTGTATAAGTCTAAGTGCTATTGCTATGAAGAACCATTGTGGCGTGGTGGTTAGAATGCAGTATTGCAGGCTAATTTTTCTGTGCGCCAGTAGTTCGATCCTGACCAGCTCAAGGTTGACTCAGACTTCCATCCTTCTGAGGTCGGTAAAATGAGGGCCCAGGTGGTTGGGGGCAATAGGCTGACTCTGTAAAACCGCTTAGAAAGGGCTGTAACACACTGTGAAGCATATAAGTCTAAATGCTATTGCTATTAAGAACCATTGTGACACAGTGGTTAGAATGCAGTTGTTGTTGTTGTCGTTAGTTGCAAAGTCGTGTCCGGCCCATCGCGACTCCATGGACAATGTTCCTCCAGCCCTACCTATCCTCTACCATCTTCTGGAGTCCATTTAAGCTCACGCCTAGGCTAATTCTGCCAAGTGTTCGCTTCCGATCGGCTGAAGGTTGACTCAACCTTTCATTCTTCCGAGGTCGGTAAAATGAGGACCCAGATGGTTAGGTGGCAATATGCTGACTCTGTAAAACCATTCTGAGAGGGCTGTAAAGCACTATGAAGCGGTATATAAATCTAAGTGCTATTGCTATTAAGAGCTGTATGGGTGTGAAAGATAGAAACCTGCAACGCCTTTCTTTGCATGAAAACAAAATGTAGCGCGTCAGGACCAAGTCGATCATTAGTCATGAAATCAGGGAAATGCAAATTCAGATTACCCAAACTCTTCTCCAAGACCTCTTTCAGTTCGTCCAAGTCCTTCAAAATGAAGCCATGTCTCTCATTGGGTTTGTGAGAAGCCAGCTCATTAATCGCTTCTGTGTTGATGTTATGGCCGTTACCAAAGACATAAACATCTAGGGGTAAATGTGAACAGAAGTCTATGTTAAGGAGAGGAATAGCACAGTGAAACCAGGAATTGCCCCCCCCCCCCCCCGTTAAAATTGCACTACAGAAAAATCCTTTCGAACAACCCATGGAAAAACTTCGCTGAGTGACGCACCGTTTTGCACAGTTAAAGGTCCCAGACAAAAGAGACACCAGAGTTTTAGCGGTGCATCGATACGTAAGCAAAGCCACTACAAGGGAAACGAAATAAAACTAATCTCTGCCCCAACCGGCTGGGAGAGTGAAACGCAACGAAGATAAAATGAAACTGTCTGGCGCACGGATCGTCATCTTACCCAAACGATCATCACGAGGGTTTGGGGAAGATTCGGCAATGTCTATTTGTAGGAGAGTAGCAGACGAGGAGCTCCCCACGTTGTACAGGTCTAGAAAAAGAAAGGATTATTGCATTTGTTGCATTTTATTATGGCATACTGTCATCTGTGGGCAAGGGGAGGGAAGGAATGGAATAAATAGATTATGGAAAAATTTAAAAAAAAAAAAATCCATCCTGGCTTCTCTTTCCAATATTTTCCAAAAACACTTCGGCACACTAATGCCTTTTATTGCCCTTCGGTCTTTTGTCTGCCTCTTCCTTCTTTCCTTCCTTCCTTCCTCTGCCTCCCTTTCTCCTTTTCTCTTGCTCTCCCTTCTCTAGTTTGCTTTCCCTCCCTCCTCCTTGCAACTTGCCCCTCCCTCTCCCTTCCATTCCCTTTCCCCTTCTCTCTTGCTCTCCCTCTCCCTCCCTCCCTCTCTCATTTCCTCCCTCCCTCCCTCCCTTTGCCTTTCCCCTTCTCTCTTTCTCTCTCTCTCCTTTCCTTTCCCCGTCCCTCTCCCTCCCTTTCCCCTTCTCTCTTTCTCTCTCTCCCCTCCCTCCCTCTCTCCTTTCCTCCCTCCCTCTCTCCCTCCCTTTGCCTTTTCCCTTCTCTCTTTCTCTCTCTCTTCTTTCCTTTCCCTGTCCTTCTCCCTTCCTTTTCCCTTCTCTCTTGCTCTCCCTCTTTCTCTCTCTCCCTTCCCCCTCCCTTTCCCTGTCCCTCCCTTTCCCCTTCTCTCTTTCTCTCCCTCCCTCCCTCTCTCCTTTCCTCCCTCCCTCTCTCCCTCCCTTTG